TACTTAGTTCTATGCCCTTTCCCTTACCCGGCCCTTTGTTGCAGTAGAAGTCTCACCCTTCCCCCTACCCTTGCCCTTACCCTTAGATGCAGCACTTTTTTCACACGCCTTCTCAAATGCCTTCCTACCCTTAGTGTATTCCTTACTAGACATGTTAACACCAATACCCTCAAGCTCCTCTTGCATATCAGCAGCAGTAATAGTTGGATCATAATTAAACTCCTTAGGGAACATATCATCTAATGAGGAGTCAGTAACAATATCATCTAATGAGGGTATGTTAGTATCCCTAGCAGTAGTAGCAACAACATCATTGGTGGACTGGTATGACAATCTCAATCTCCTCCTAGGTTTGAGTTTGATCATTGGAGCATTTGAAGGTTGGGCAGAAGAGGGGTTCTTTTCAAGACCAACAGTAGGTGATGCACCATCATCTATAGGTTGTTGAGGAGGTGTTGGTGGTTCATTTAGCGGTGGTGGTTGAGCCTGGTTAGCTTCATTTAGAGGTGGTGGTTGAGCCTGGTTAGCTTGTTCAGTAGCAAATTGTTTCCCCCTCCACTCAGACACTAGATCATTCATGAAAGTGGAATCCTTAGTAGTGTCAACCAAAATTTCATACAAGTTAGCATCAGGGAATGTTCTAAACATCCTAATCATACCACCATCATCATCAATAGGCCAATGCTTGCCTCTATATGCATAAGAAAAGATAGGGTTCAATATAACTATTCCCTTTTTCTGTAACCTATCTTCAAATTCAATCATTAAATCCATGAGATTGCACAAATCAGGATCCACTTCAATATCAACATTATGAACCTTATATTTAAATCTTATCAAAACCTTGTCACTCATTCTGCAAAATTAGGGAAAAATACCACAATTCAATCCCATCATCAATGAATGAAAATCATTTAAACATGGCGGCAACAATACATAACACATAATTTGACCTAGGGTTACCTATCACTAACAAACTTAGAAATATCAACTCAAACACACCCAAATCGAATTATTTGTGCAACAAACACAAAATTAAGCAAAAAATCATAATCAGAGGCATATCATGCATAATTCAAACCATAATCGATTAACAATTGTACATGGAAATCAAACTTCAATCATTTACACAAATATTCATCTAATACCAAAAACCAAACTATTTTATGCGAAAATCACAATATTGAAAGCTCAGATCAACACTAACCTCTAACAATCAACAATGTAGTGCATAATTTCCAGGAATTTTGCTCCAAACGCGCTTGAATTAGGGTTCCCCACAACAGCAAAAACAGGGGAGAGAGTGAGAAGGAAGAAGAAGATGAACAATCTTCTGTATAGGGTGATTTTAATTTAGGTAGTTGGAGTTTGGAGGGAGAGAGTTAATTTCTGTAGGGTAGGGGGGGCAATTTAGTCATTTCATTGTAATTAAAAACCAAAATCTAACTTTTTTTAACTAAATATGTACGGTAGGTGTACGGCTGATAATGGTATGAAACCTTGGGTGTACCGCTGATAAACAATAGTTAAGTAGGTGTACCATTGATAAAGGCTCAAACCTTGGGTGTACCGTTGATAATTTCCCAAAAAAAAATAATGAATTGTTAGCCTTAATGTTCAAACTTATGACCTCATGCTTATATTATACTACCTCCGTTAAATATTAGTTTCAACTTTGGAATATTTTATATCTCACAAATAATACCCCAAAGTTGCAACTAATATTTAACGGAGGTAGTACTTTAACTTCAACCACTACTCCAATGACACATCTCATATCTACAATGTTTTGTTAAAAAGAGTTAATCATATTCATAAACTTGATCTGAAGTCAAACGAAGCAAATTAATAATTTTAAATACTAGATACTGGATAATATATATTGATGTTCAATAATAATTGGAAAAATTTATTTAAATAGTACGAGTACCACTACTCCAATGACACATCTCACATCTGCAATGTTTTGTTAAAAATAATTAATCGTATTCATAAACTTGAAGTTGAACGAAGCAAATTAATAATTTTAAATACTAGATATTGGATAATATTTTGATGTTCAATAATGATTGGAAAAATATATTTAAATAGTATGAGTAGTGAAGTAAATGTTGTTGAATTTGAATAAAATAAGGGAATTCAAGGCATCAAATCCAGCCGCCCGATCGGACGCGTGTTGGCCCGTTGGACTCCGACGGTTTGATCTTTGGATTCCCTCACTTAATTTCTTGAGTAATTCTTATAACTCCCCAATTTAAGAGGGTGTTTAAGGTGATCAATCACCACCATTATTCTGTTGATAAGTAACTCTCATAACCCCCTATTTAAGAGGATGTTTAAGGTGATTATTCACCTCCCTTGATGCTTGAGATTCTTCTTCTATGTTCTTTCATGTTTCTCTATAAATAGAACAAGCCTTTTTTCTGATTTATACACTTGAAAAATACATCAAGCACAATAGTCTAAACACATTTTCAATTGGGTATAAGTTACTTGACTCAAACCTTCCACCCAAAAGTGTCTTTGTGTGGAAGTGGTGTTAACCTTAGGGAACGTGCCGGCAAATATAATTGAGCACCTTGGTTGCGTCAAAATTCAAGTTAGTGATTTGCATCACGACACACCAATATTGTTCCATTATTTGTGAGATTATCTTTTTTATCTTACTTAAATATTTTTATACTATTTATACTAGACTACTCCTTTATTTACAACAAGTAATAATTTAATTTTTTTTTTTGTATTTTATCACATGATTTTTGTCATAAAACCTCATTTATAATATACATATAAAAATGGCCTGGGGCATTGCCCGGGCCAAAAACTAGTTATGAATAAATGCGTATTAAGAAACATATGAATTTACTGGATTACTCACTTTTTATTTATGATAAATGAAACTAGAGGTGACCAAAAATCGAATCAAACCGGGCCTTAGTATGAAATCTTATGCCCGAACCTGTAAAAGTGTCGGGTTTTTTGGGTTTTTTTTCTAGCAGGATTCAGATTTTTAACTAAAATTATGTTCTTAACTTGCCAACATCTGCCCTTTTTTCAAACCAAGCTAGCGAGCCGGACTATAATTGATCACCTCTAAATGAAAACTTACTAAACCTGTAGGTATAGCTTAGTCATACTTTTCTCTAGCTACCGCGAACTTGTGTTCCCTCATAAGAGTGCGCGCGTATGATGATCAAGTTTTGATAATGTCACCGACAAAAAAAAGAAAAGAAAAAAACTAAAGTTAATTGAAAGGATTTGTTGGTGAATATATGGTAATAACACTAGTAATGCATATACAATGACACCTATTGTTTTATTCCCAAAGATAAACTACGAGTATACTTGTGCTACTATTATACTTCATCGAAAGTTTACAAAGCCTAAAACTAGCCAAATGTCACCGAGCTAGTTGGCTACATTATATATAAGTGGTTATTATTAGGCTCTTCCTTTTCCATGTTCATTATGAAATTTTACTTGGAATAAAAAAGAGATCGAGCGAAATACCATACGTATGTAGGAAGAGGAGAGTTTAGGGCACACGAAGCTTGGCACCACCTTTCATAATTCATTGTTTATAAGATGCATGCATGTCGTTCATAGACATGTATGTATGAAAGGTAGTGCCAAGCTGCGTGCGTCTTAAACTTCTCTTCTACAGCCTTATATATACGGTTATACTTGATGAAACGATGATTGGCGGCGGCGGATGAAGATATTTGCGTATCTTAAAATGGCTACTAAGATTTCTCTTGTAGCATTGCTAAATGCATACCTCTAATAATGGAGCTTCTACACATCAATAATGCATCTCATGATCGAATGGTGAATAAAGGTTGTTTATTCAATTTTAATTTCAATTACCCTCAAAAAATTTATATCTCAAAACTTTTATCTTTTACTAATAATCCAAAAATAGCTAATGCACATACTTGGGCAAACTCCTTTATGAAACCATCATCCTTTGAATAATAAGGGTCTGTTTTGTGCATCTAATTTTCATTCATTTCTTATCGAATAAGTTTAAATAAGTCAAGTCAGAAAAAACAAGTTTTGATAATAGTTATCCAAATTCAAATTAGTGAAATTACAACTGAAATAAGTTTTAATAAAATTTTCAGATGGCAAGATAAGATAACTTTAAATAAGTAAACATCAGGTAAATAATAACACACTCTAAGAATAAAGTTATGAAGTAAAACTGACATTTTTACACTTGAGCTCAATTAACGCAGTTTCTTGTTCACTCCTTTGATTAGTTTCCAACATATTTACATGATGATCTAATATCAAGAGTTAAACTCTAGTCTTCTTATCAGAAGAAAGAAAGGAAAAAAAAAAAAAGTCTTCGGTTTTCATACATCAATTCATAGTAAATTAATAATGCTCTGGTTCAAGATCGAAATACATGCTTGGTGTCTTTTTTAGTAGCAAGGGTTTGATTCTCATGGAACATATTGTTGTACTCCGTCTGTTTCTTCATTTTTATCCCATTTGACTTTTTGTTGTTTTCAAGACACGTGTTAAAACATTTATATCTTTATTTTAAGATGTTTAAAAATATTAAAAAGTTGATAATAATTAAATTTACAATGAGAGAATCAAACAAGATCTCACATAACTATATTTACTTTTGTTGAACAACGAAAATTTATGGTCAAAGTTTTCAAAGTTCGACCCACATTTTAACAATGGAGCAAATAAATAGAGACGGAGGGAGTAATACGATGGGTAAAAAGTGTAAGATAACCTAGGGCATCCCAAGTATGCTTGAGTTCCACCGCTAAGATACTCATCGATCTTAGCTTATTTGGATAAAGTTGGGCACATGCACATTTCCACAAAACTATCATAGTATCATTTCCTATATACGCGTTCGGTGTCATACTCACCGGCCACCTCACGCCTTGTTTCAACTATACCCTATGTATACACCATGTAATCTATTTCTTCAGTTTCAAATTAATTGACACATGTTTAATCACGTTTTCTAATATATAAATTTAATTATTTTATCTTTAAATATCAATAAGTAAAAACTGGACAATAGTTTCTTCCTTATAATAGACTTGAGAAGATTAAAATTCAAGCTACAATCATCATGAGAAAGATTAACATCCAAAATGATTAAAAAAAAAAAGAAAAAGAATAACAAACTCATATTTTTCATGTAATCTATCTATACAATCACAACATCAAGTGAACTACTTGCACCAACCTGAGTACACCCAGTAGAAGATTTGCACTTCCCAGTCCTACAATTTGAAGCTGATCTCTTACAACATCCAACCTTAATCGCGCTATCCTTTTTCTCCAGTGTCCCTTCCAACTTAGCAGTACAAGTTTTTTTAGCACAACACCCTTTTTTCGGCTCCTCTGCCTTCTCAATACTCGGTTGAATTGCCTTTTTGCTAACTGAACTTTGGCACTTAACTTCGCCCTTGGCAGTTTTATCACAGCAAGACTTATTCTGAACAATTTTAGCACTCGGCTTCTTGTATTCGTCAGCCCCTCGTAGAAGTAGCATGCTGTTGAGTATTACAAGCAGGCATGTACCAACATCAGTCACAACAGCAACTAAGAGCATAGAGTAGCCAGCAATGGCTAAGGCAAGGACTAAACCCTTTGTCGAAAATGATATGATCACATTCTCAACGATTTTTCTAGATGCTTTCTTTGATATTCGAATTGCTTCTGGTATCTTTCTGATGTCATTGGACATCAGAATTACATGTCCTGTCTCCATTGCGAGTGCAGAACCTGATATCCCCATTGATATTCCGATATCAGTTGTTGCTAAAGCGAGTGCATCATTTATTCCATCTCCTACCATTGCTACTACTCCATCCTTCTTCAGTTCCTCAATAATTTTAGCTTTGTCTTCTGGTAGTAGCTGCGCATGAACTATGTCGAGTGCGTCCTCTAGCTGGATACAATTAATCTTTATCATTGAGGAAATACTTGCAATGCAAACACAAAAAAAACTGTCTAGATTAACAATATGTTCTTGCGCGTACCTGATATTGCACCTGTTGCGCTGCAGCATGATTATCACCAGTTAGCATAACTGTTCTAATCCCTGATTCCTTTAGCTCTTTGATTGCTTCCATGACTCCTGACCGACAGTTGTCGGATAGAGCAAAAGTTCCAACCAGAGTTGCTCCCATGTATATAAATCCACTCGCTTTCTCTTCCATCTTTTGTAACTCATCATTGTCACATTCTGTAAATAAGCAGCAGCAAATCTGTGATTAAACAACAGTTCTGTAGATTATAGTTTAATCTAAGTTGTTTCGAGTTCAATTTAAAAAATGCACTCACTTTCTGTAAATCCTGCTCTTAGAGAGATTCTATAATTCCCAATGTAAATATGTTCACCCTCAATTTTTCCATATATCCCTTCTCCGGGATAGTTTTGAAATTCCTCGACCATTTCAGGAATTGGCTTAATAGAATGTGATGCAGCATAGTTGACAAGTGCCGCTGCCATTGGATGGCTCGATTTACTCTCAATGCTCGAAATCCTGACAATGTTTAAATAAATCAGCAATGAAGAGAAGAAAGTGAGCACTACTAGTCGAATGCATAGGACTAGAAAGTAGAAACTAACCAGAAGAGTAACTTCTCAATGCTAACTTTTTCGTGTAAGGACTGAAAGTGTGTGACAGCAAATTCTCCTGTTGTGATTGTTCCGGTTTTATCAAAGGCGACAGTCTTAACTTTAGCAAGAAGCTCAAGGTAATCTCCACCTTTGAAGAGAAGCCCTGCTGTTGCGGCTTTTGAAAGAGCGCAAAATATTGTGACTGGTGTAGAGATTACTAGTGCACAAGGACATGCACTCACCAATACAACCAAGGCTAGATGAAACCAGCGCGTTTTATCACTACTTTGTAAAACAATAGGAGTTACAGCAACACCAGCTGATATCAGAACAACAACTGCAGAACAACCAAGTAGCAATAGTAAGAAAATTTAAAATTCTTTAACAGTAGATGCAAAACATTGTTGATCTTAGATTTGATCTGTTACTTACCAGGAATGTACCACTTTGTGCAGTTCTCAATAAATGTCTGGATTCTAGCTTTCCTACTCTGAGCTTCTTCTACGAGATTCACCATCCTTGCCACTAAACAGTTTTCAGCTAACATTGTAGTTCTTACACCGATATAGCCTAGAGAGATTTCAATAGGCAACATAAGTGAGGTGCTCGAACAATAAATTCATCTTATCAGGTTCAACTAAAGCTATCTCCAAGTTCAATTCGCAGCTAAAAGAACTTTAGACACATCCAAAAACTGTGTTTCAAGTGCAAAGACTAAGCCAATGACTCGATCAGTATAACTGTGAGGTCTATTAAGTTCTAAGAATCGAAATAATCCAGTTTTTTACTTGCTGTTACCAATTTCCAACATTGATGAAGTTAAGAAGTAATGAATCTAATCTAAAACAAGCCACCTAAACGTCTCAAATGTTCACTCTTAAAACATCAAAAAGTGTATGTCAACTTAAATGATGCTAATTAACAAGTGTTAAACTAACCATTCAAATTGATAGTGCCAGCAAAAGCAGTAGAGCCAATTTCTTTGATGACAGGAAAAGATTCTCCAGTCAATGCCTTTTCATCCACTTCAGATTTACCCTCCACAACAACTCCATCAATAGGAATAACTTCGCCTGCTTTGACTGCGATTATGGTTCCTAGATTCACACTTGTGACATCAACTTGTTTACCAGAATCAGCCAGTGTTGCTTTCAGGGGCGTCATGCTCGTCAGAGAAGACATAACAGACATAGCCTACATAATTGCAACATAAATGTATACAACTCAATTCAACAAGTTATACAATTTAAAAGGTATGAATGAAAGTTCATATAGGAGAGAAACCATACCTTGTAACTAGCTCTTGACTCGAGCCACTGAGCTATATTGTACAAGAAGACGATTATAGCTGCATCTGTGTAATCTTGCAGAGCTATTGTTCCTCCAACTGCACAGTAACAAACAATATAAGCTCAGAAATGGATGTGACTACTTGAGGTTTTCTTGTCCCAAAACCCAAGCCATTTTAGTGCTACATGATACAAGAAGCAAGAGGTAAAAGATAAGCTAATTACCTGCAATTAGAACTATGACATTAATATTGAGAGTCAGATTTCTGATAGATGCAATGCTTCTCCAAATAATGTTTGGAACTCCAATAAGGACAGCAACAATGGCTAACCATTGCATAGGTTGGTACACATATTTCAACAATGACAACAGAAGCAATACACCACAAGTTATATTCCACTTCCCTGGCCATTTCTTGGTGTAGTTACCTTCTCCTCGAGGTCGAACACTTGCTTCTAGTCGTGCTTGATTCAATGCTTGAACTGAAACACCAATAAAAGGGAGGAGAAGTGTTAAATTAGGGGATGATGATGATACTAGCTGACTTCATATTTTGTGAATAGGGACGGAGGGAATAAGATTATGTTTATTCGACTTATTTATGATACATAAAGTTTAGACAAAATAGTTTGTGACGTAACTTATATTCTTATACTAGTTACATTTAATATACATGTCTAAACCTTATAAGATTAAAACCAAGGACAAAGATTACAAAATTTTACATACTTAGTCTAAGACATGTACCGTACCATTCACACCGAGGAAAACAACCCATAATGATATAAGGGGAAGGCTGTACTTAATTATTTGTGTTTTAAAATACTAAGTATAATTATATGAAGTACGCAGTATATATTAAATTTATAATGATAACGACCTATAACAAATTGACAACAACATCAATTATAAAATACAAACAAGCTGAATTGTTATTTATCTAAAAGAAGCTAACCATAATATAGTATACAAATAAATCCAAAGTCTCACTCTAGTAATTTTTATAGTCAATATTTTCGTAAATCGTAACGAATCAAATCCTCAAAATTTTAATATATCTAATCGTCCAATATGAAGTGCATGTATGAAATCTACGCAACCAAAATTTTAATACATATGACAAGATGAGAAATGAAAAATGAAGTGTATTGTCTAAGGCCGTATATATCTAATTATAAAATTTTTTAAATGCCTCCTAGTGCTACAATAATAAACACTAAAATTGAACTTATATGACAAAAAACATTTGGTCAAAACGTTTGACACGAGAGCTAGCTGAGCTACTAATTGGAGTTCATGTTATATAAATTAAAACCAAATATATTGAGAAGTGGACTTTTATACCGTCCAATTAGTAATAAATTTATTTTCTATAAGAAATTTATAGAAAGAATAATCAAGACTACTTCATTACTTTGGCCCTCTTCTCTTCAAATTGAAAAAGAACATTGAGAAAAATCATTTCAAGTAATTAAAAGACATTTTCAAAAATACTTATAATTTATTTTACACATGAAAAAAAATAACGGCAGAATTATTAGAAAGAAAAAAGAACCTATTATTTCTTTCAAAAAAAAAAAAAAAAAAAAGAAATAACCGATTATTCTTTTTTATCATCATCATCGTAATTAGATGATTGATTAATAATTAAAAATAGAAATCTTTAACCTTTCAAATGAAAATAAAAATACCTACCAATTTGAGAAGGAGAAATAATGCGAATATCATGGACAACCGTCAAAGTCTTGGTAGGAACAACAACAGAAATGTCCTTAACACCATTTAATGGCTTAACAATTGACTCAATTAATGGAACTTCTGATGAACAACACAATCCCATTATCTCAAAATAGCTTTTCTCCAACTTCACATCTTCTTCTTGTATTGTATGTTCCTGTATTATTTTGCGGGTCCAAAAAGTTTCAATCAAGTCGTGACTTATATAATCCCCAAATCATAATTTATTTAAACTCGTGCACATACAATAACATAAACAAGATTCAATTCTGGTATTTTAGAAGAAAACGTACGTAAAGTAATATATGAAGTAGAAGTACGTGTTAAATTAAAATGGATCATCACAAATAAACCTGACATTTTGATCAATAAATTAAATCAACAAGAGAAAGTTAAGAGATTACTACTTGTAAATTTGGAGTTTGCTGAAGTTGGGTGCTTGGTATCAAAGGCTGCTCCAGATCATGAGTTGACATGATTAATCGAATCCCCTATTAGTTATTTATCAATTATTGATTTTAATTTTCGATTGTCAATTAAAGGAGATGGAGAATGAAACTTTGATTATTTGATCGATATGAGTGATTTAAATGTTTCTCCTCTTTCCCTCAAAACATAGCATATATAAAACAATGTTGGTTGTCTTTGTTGAAACATAGAAAAATATTTCTACATTCTGCATTATCTGCTTAGGGTTGACTTTGAAGTTTTTTTTAGGAGGGGCATACTTATTCATGGAATATTTGATCCAAACAAAGTTTATATGTGTCTGGTCAAACCTTGCATTCGGGGTTACTTATTCAAGGGTTATTCGCAGGGCCGGCTAAGGGCCTTTGCAAACCTTAGCACTGGCCCTTAACACAGGGCCCCGTGAATTGGAGGGCCCAAAATGTTCTAATCTGTCAACTCTCTTCACACGCTTCAACAGAAGCAATTCAACCTTTCCAAGAATCATTTACTCCATTAATGTTGTAATTCCAATAAAATTTGTAAAGTTTCCTTATTCGATTCATCTTTAATATCTCATTAACTTCCTTGATTTCCTAAATTTTCATTAAAGCCTTTCATCTTCTCTCTACTAATCAGTTAGTCACTATATAAAAATACGAGTAATGAATTAATTTCGGCAAAACAATCCTTATTGCTATACTTTTCTTTCTTTAACGAAAGAACCAGATTTTTTTTTTTTTTTTTTTTTTTTTTTTGATAAAGGTTGGTGTTAATTGCTATGAGCCTATTAACCTTTTTTTTTTTTTTTTACGAGAAAATTATCATAATTCTACTTTCTCAAGCACTCAACCATAATTGGAATTACATGTTGCAACAGTAGATTATTAAGGATTGGTTTCAGAAAATATGTTCAATCAATAAAATGATTGATTAGCTAATAGCTGGCGTCTAATTAAATTGATTACATATTGACATATTGTGATAATGGTTTAAATTTTTTTTAATATAATTTTTTAATATAATTACATATTGTTTTAAATTAATGGCAACATTTTTTTTTTAATGAGGCCCAATATTTGAGATTAGAACAGCGCCTCCGAAATATTTAAGACGACCCTGGTTATTCGGTCAATTAGGGATTACTCAATCAGTCAGGAGTTACTCGATCAATGTTTTGGTCTATGTTAGTCGGCTACACGGTGTGGTCAGCCACACATAAAACATACTGATATATTATTGTGTGGTCTTTCATTCTAAAAAAATAAAATCATTGTATACTTTCTAGTTTCATTTTTTTGTTGTTTAGTTTATGGCCACACTGGTTTGGTGACCATGGTGTTAGCTATGATGACATACTTGATCTAATTAAATATCATTTCTTCTTAAATAAACTATTTTACGGAGTATATATACTCTTTATATTTTTCTAAAGTGTTACACTTTGTCCTTTATTATTATTCGCGTAGTGATTTTAAATTCTCATTCACTAAAGTTAGTAACATAGAAAAAGCAATGTTGGATTAAGTGTAATACTTGAAAATAGAGGGAACATTTTTTTTTTTTTTTGCATATATCTGATCTCTTGGTATCATTGTTAATAGCATATCATGATATCTTAAATTTGTGGATTAAGATATGATGTTAAGAAAATATATATGATCTATTGTCATTCTTTGCAATCGTTAAAGTGTATCTCAATGGTTAATCTTAGTGATCTGATTGTGTTAGTCTATAATATTTGATAGATAATACATTGATCTATATACTTCCTCTGTTTCTAAATACTTGACATTCCATGCTTTGCACAAGCATAAAGGATTCATTTATTTGGTTGGATTATGTTTGCTATTTATAAGGGTTTCGATCAACTTGTTTAAAATTGTTTTTTTTTTTTACTAATTAAGCACCCTTCTTTTATTTAATTAATTGCTGATTGATTATATTATTGTTAGATGGGAGATTGGAGAAGTTCTTATAACTTTGATTGGAAGTAGGGACTATCATTAGAAGAGCCAAAAAAAAAAAAAAATTGTTTGGAAAAAACCTAAGCTTTAAACATCAATTACATATTCTTATTGATTAAGTAACAAATGAGAACTAATTATCTGATGCAAGAGCCTAATATAATATGGTATGTGATAACAACTCCATTACACTTCAATTTAATTCATGTTAATTAAGGGATTGTTCAAGTATTTAATTTACCTTAGTAATGGATTTGGGGGTGCTTTCCAAGATAAGCTATGAAGCAAATGAAATCAGGCCATCTCTTTGCCTAGATGTACTTCCCGGTTCAATCGATCTGAAACGTTTTAGAAACAAATAAACAACATCATCAACAACAACAACAACATTCAGAACTCTGAAACTATTAAATTATATTATAAAAAAAAATTGTCAAAGAAAGAACTAATAACAAAGCTGCTAAAGAATGAATTTATGCACAGTTTAGGCAAAGATTAAAAAGTATATATTATATAGTTTTAATACTCTTATAAAAAGTTGAGCATTGCATTGAATTAAAGCCAAAATGCTCCATATTAGCTCTATCAAATACTAGCTAGCTTAGTACAAGGCTAGGGCTACATCAAAACATAAATCTACATATATTGCATCGATAAATATATAAGTATTAGCTTACATGAAACTAAAGCTAGGTAAATCTTTCTTAACTCATCATATATATAAAATTGATGAGTTTAGATTTTGCCTAAAGATAAACACTCTTTAGCTAGAATGCCAGCATGAAAGTACGTTTAATTAAGCTGCCGGCGCTACATCATCGCCATCATCATCATCATCATCATCATTCTCATGCGGCCTCATCGTGGCAAGGATGCTGAGCTTAAGCTGATCATCACCATAGATTGTACCGAAGGTAGACATATTTTTAGATAAAATAAAATATGAGTACCAAAATAAAATTGATATTGAGAAATAATGATAAATTAAATGTAGTTGATGATGAATTATATTTTTTTCATGCATCTTATATTTATAATACAAGAAAGAATAATAGTTATTGGAAAATCTAGGAGGTTGGTTGCAAGTGTCTTTTTAGTGATGTCGTTGTAAGTTGAGATATTGTTTTAACTTTAGTAAGATTTGAGTATGTGATGCAAAATGTAACAAGGTGGAAAAATTAGGGCACATAAAAACATACGTGCCAATAACTTTAGTGTCAAGTGGCACGTGGGCCAGAGGCATTGGTGAGCTTATGTTAGGAGCCTGTTATGCACGAACCACACGTGCTAGCAACAGTCCATGCACACTCCCATGCAACTTTGTTACGTGTCTTTCATGAGGATTTGGCTAGTCAACTTCTTTCAAACTAGTTTCAACTTTTGGTCACCACACTTTGCTTTTGTTGCAAAAAAGTCATAGATATAGAATGACTAACATCTGATCTTTATTTCTTTAGTCCTTTTTCTCTTGGTGGTTTTTATGCTCCGTATACGTATACTATTCTTTAACACGAGCGAGCCTCTCAAACTCTTTGTTATCTAAGGAGTATTTAACTTTTGATTAGCTCTATCTTTCTTATGTTTCCATTTAATTCCTGCTAACACAAATCAAACATAAAAATGGAAAATAATAGTTGTGATTTGATTAGGGGTTGATGCAAGAGAAAAGGAATAGAGTTAATCAAGGATGATCAGGTCACGAATTTACAAATATTAGTCATTACGTATGAGTGTCTACTGGTTCATTCATTCTTGCAAAATTAAATGATATGGTTAAGTTTGAATAGTTGGGGTGGGGTATGTTGTGAATAAGGTAATTAAGAACTTGAAGGTTTATGATTTTGGTCATAAGAAAAAAAAAAAAAAAAAAAAAAGAAAAAAGAAAAAACCTTGAATTATGCTACTCCTATTTGTTTTTATGAGCTACATAGTAAACACAATTGTTATTCAAGTTTATAGTACACTTTCTTTTTTAAGAGTAAACACTAGACACACTAACACAGTTGTCTGATCCATTCAAAGGAACAAGCCTAAGATCGTCGATACAATATATATGCAGCAAGACAGACCATTAGGGTCTACATGAAAAACTTTAGTTGCACACGTCCCACTAGGAGACTTGCATATAAGGTGACAATGAGACTAATCATGGAATGGGACTGCAAGGCACGAAGAAGGAAAAGCAGAGAAAATTGGTCGAAAGCATCCTTATTATGAGTCCAACCACGTCTCGTCTTCGTCACAGTTACCATCTCAAACCTACCCTTAAATGTAGAGTACATTTCATAACATCCAAATACGGCTTTCCAGGTATTAGACCAGACATTAGGCACGTAAGAACAACAAACCATGATGTATTTACCCTTAAGATTGATTCTTAGCTTTAACTTTACGGCCATTTCTACGTAATCGCATCGACTAGGGAACAACAATGATTCAATATCTAAAGGCTCACCGGGGTCAATGTTAGAATTATTCAAATAAAATTTAGGCCTCTGAAATTCATGTCTAATAGACTGCTAATTTAGATGTAACATCTCAAAAATGATCAAGTTTAGCATCTGGTGGACAAAATGAATTTGGGTTATCCAATTCCTTCGATAGTTGTTGTTCATACCAAGGTACTATAGGTGTATTAGGAAACAAGTAACTCCTTAATTCCTCCACTTCCATACCCTTTTAACACCTTCAACTCTCGAGGAACGTTATTTTTCTTCAACTCTTGAGTGACATTCTAAATTCTTTAAAGTTGTTCATTGACAAACATAATGGTCAAATGTTGCATTTTTAAGTTAATAGAGCAAGTATAAATGAAAGTTTAATAAATAAATTTCTTAAAAAAAAAAAAAAAGTATAAATGAAAGAATAAGCAATGTGAATAATATTACTCCGTAGGACGGATGATCACTTCTGAAGACACAAGCAAATGAATAATCAATGGCAGTCTAAATTGATACTTAATATAAATGGTACAAGCCTCAATTACATTGTGAGCATAGTTCATTTTTAGTGTTTACTCTCCCTTCAAAATTTGCTTGGACGGTTATAATTACTGTACAAACCAAGCCTATCACCAATTCACCATCCCCTTCATACCGAAGAAAAGAAGAGGAAAGAACTAAAGAAGAGAGCTGTCATCGAGGTATTTACATGGACATCCTTCCAACTCAATGGAAACTGGAGCATTGACAAATTTACAATTGCACCAATACTCAAAAGGATTAATCCTACCCATGATGAGGGCTACCCCAGACATCATGAGAAGAGGCTGACAGTTGCACTCCTTACTCCACAACATCGACATCATGTTCAGCTCAGCCAAAAGAATATAATCAGAAGCCATTGCATGATCGCAGGATCAGTAGAGCTGGGATGAAATGTCATGGTTACCACTTACGAGTAAATTCACAAACTGTATCACGATATAGTTTTGAACATATCTCTGTAATTAAAAGAAAAGAAGAGGACATGTACCACGGATATTTGCAGGTCCTGTTATGACATGAGTACTTCTTGAGAGTCCATTGGAGAGGCCCAATACCGCAACAATGATTCTATAGTCAGCCTCCTAGATGCACTGAGCATAGAGATGAAAAATCTACAGCCATCAATTTTGTATTCCTCCAGTGGATTTCTGTGCCCAAAACTTCTCACATTCACCTGCATGTTGTATGAATGAGCCTTGCTCTAGTAGTAACAAAATATCAAAAATGACCAGGAAAAGCTAATATGAGTACCGCTGAGCTAAGCCTGTTCATATTGACAAGATGATCCCTCCATAAACAATCGAGAGTCTTGATTAGTACTGCCCTCTGCATTTTAGAAACAAACAGATGTAAAAGAAACTCCAATAAAACTTGTAACAACCAGTGTTAATCCTCGCAATATAGTGACTGCAATAAGACAAAGCACTTCCAAATTTCACATCTTGATCTTCGGAAATGAGCAGAGACAAACAAAAGAAAACTGTAACAACTCAACTTAATACTTAGAATGTTGAAATTATAATAGCTATCCGCTAGTTCAGGCAGTTAGATCAAAATAATTAGTTTTAATTCTCTCCAACACATAAGAAAACTTCAGGAGTCTTGCAGTGGTAGGTAGTAGCCTATAGTTTGAAGAAATTTAAAATTTTAAAAAAATAAATAAAATTTAAAAAAGGCAGAAGATCACAAAAAAAAGATGTTTTCTGATATTTTCATCACGTATGACATCCCAAATTGGCCAAATGATATAATACTGTAATGCATAAAGGAACTTGGTTGGAAACCTATAAAGATTAATAAAAAAAAATAGATGTTAAAGATATTACTGCAATTGACTCAACCTCAAAAAACAGTTGCACAAACGAATTGGCCCATTTAACCCGAAAAAAAAAATTAAAAAAAAAAAAAAACTGACATAAATATAAATAATGGATAATTCAACTATTACAGAATCTGAAATGGTGAAGCCCATGCAGAATACGAAAAAATTACCTCAATTTCCTTCACATATGTATCATCGAAACCAGATTCTTCAATAGCATCAAGATATGAAGCAATCAGGAAATCTCCTAGGTAATGACGCAAGAAATTAATGCTCACTCGGTATTTTCCATCCCTGCACAAATCAGAACAAAGTATCATGCTAAGACCAAAATTATAAAAATAAGATAAAAAAATTTTTAAAAAAAGGTATGCACTGATATCATAAAACAGTAGATGCACTCACGTAATTGAGTCATCAGCACATATGGTAAGCCATCGCTTGAAGGAAGAAGTCTTCTTTCGAATTCCTTTGAAAGCATTTGGAGGTCTTGGCAAGTTTTCAGGCAAAAAACCATTGAAATCTGTCGGAGCTGATGCATCTAGTTGGGAGAGGGACTCCAAAAGTACAACCTCTGTGATTCCTGCAAATGACTCTGAAAAAGGCCCAGCAGATAGCAACTTAAGCATCACGATAATTGTGAAACATGGGCAAAAATAAAAATACGAGGTAGTAAATTTAAGATAAGCTCACCATCCAACAGCTTCCCCCCCACATTGGCCAATTCCTTTAGGATCTTTCTCAACTTCCAGTCACGAGGATGCTATCCAAACATAAATCAAGAAAGAAAAGAAGGTTAAAATCGTTCAAACTCTTCATTCCATTGGTGAACCTTAAACAGTAATGATTATTAGGTCACAAGTTGCATATACCCGAATTGAAGGGAATTTTAGATTAATTTGAAGCATTAAAAACTAGATTGAGCAGATTAGGTAGTGAGTCCGAAAATTTTGGAGAGGATTGGGAAAAACTGTAAATATACACATACAAATTACCTTTTGAGAATCAGCACTGCCTAGTACTATTTCATCCACAACAGCTTGCATGTACCTGTAATCAACATTGCCACCACAAGGATTAAGGGTGCGAAATCATAAATATAATAGATACGGAGGCAACTCGAGAATTGCGATCACCAACAGAAACTATTAAATATAATGTACAAAAGTAATACTATAAGAACATCAAAGCTTTTGCAACCAAAGACTTATGTAAATAAATAATAATAATAAAAGTCAATTTCAGTCGGTAAAGTTCTAGCAAGTAAAATCACTTTTAATCAGTAGAAAATAATTTAATAAAAATTAGAAAAATAAGGTGAACAAAACAGGACCTTAATCCTTAACATTTTTTTTTGGATAAGAGAAAAAGAAGAGAGGAGTGGAGGTTGGGGGAAAGGGAGGAGAGCAAGTTTCCTAGGTTGCGGAAGAATGGAAAGGAAAGGGATCCATTTTTTCTCCTCTTTAATAAACAACATCCCTCCAAAATTGAAGATTTTGGAGAGAAAATAGAGCTTCAACTTCCCCTATCCTTCCTCCTTTTCTCCTCCCATTCCTTTCCCTTCTATCTTGCTATCCAAACATATAGTAGTCTAGTCACTGATATGAAAGCATGGCATCATATAATCATCTCATTAACAAGTGTACAGTGTACTCCCTCCATTTTAAAGAGTTAGTTCAAGTTGACTTTTCAAACATATTAAAAATAGTGGAATTTTGTCAAAAAAAAAAATAGTGGAAAAGATTAAACAAAGAGTTATCATTTTTAGTGACATAACTATTAAATGTTAAGAGAAACAAAAATGAATAATTCGGACGGACTGGCAGAGAGAAACAAAATCTGATACAAGATGGAGAGCCAAAGAAAAAATACACATTAATTTGCAGTCATACAGACAAAAAATTTATAATGCTGACAATAGATGGACTCACTGGAATATATGCTGTGAGCAACTTTCAGCATCACCCGCCAAAATCAATTGCCTAAGGTCATAGACATGCTTCCTTTGGACCTGAGAATACATAAAGAAAGTGTAGTAAGGGCTACTAATAATTTTTTTACTGTTTGATTTGAAAACACACACACGCATACACTATCATGGTTACTCTTATATTTTGACTAAGAACAACATATTTGCTAAAAATAAACGACTCATATTTTTTTCAACTTCTGTTTATTCAAAGGTGCCATGGAATTAAGGATCAAAGGACCAATATGAAGATGGCACAATGGGAAAAATATATTATTATCATGCATGTAATCTTAAATTATCAAAGACCACTTTGGTTTCCAGTAGTTTCAGCATTCAATTTTTCAATAAAATTGGCATTATACAGAAATTCTTTTCAAGATTTACCTAATTAGATTATAGATGAGAGGCATATGGACTCTTGCATAAACAACGAAACTAAGCCCATTGGGAAAGAAAGCTACATAATTAACAGGGAAGTTGTAGGGGAAAATAAAACAACAATGCCTTAGTCATCAAAATTTGGTTACAAAGCTCTTTCAAACTACACATATGAGAGCATTACAAGCAGTGGACTCATGCACTCAACCAAGTTTGAAACTGTAATTAAATATACCTCTAAGATTTCATCAAACTCAACCAGGCTCTTACGGATGTTAAAGAAATACTTCTCCGCACTTATTTGCAAGGACATAAGCTTCATCCATGACAGAAAAGTGAGACAGCCAGAATTGTACAACTCATGTAGAAAGAAAAGAAGATATAAAATTAGTCTTTAATAACCTGTTTATATATGGTATCACCTTCAATTGGTACATCCTCATCATTTGTGATTTTTGATATCAGTGTGACGGCCCACTGAGTGTCAAAATTAAACTTTTGAAATATTTCATCCTGCAAGCTGTAAATTTGAACAGAATCAGCTGCCAGTGCAGAATCTATGAAAGACCAAATTCAAAAGTCTAACTTAAGGTGTTAAATATTATCCTCAATTTCGCTCCATCGATACAAGCACTATTATCGAGTACACCTTTCATTTGGTATACAATCCTAATTGCATAAAATATAATTAATCCAAGGACATAAAGTCATAGTGGTTCTAGGATCTAGGTAGTATTAGATTCTACATTTCTACATATCCTTCATATAATTACAGTAGCAGAAAGCTGCAGCGATACATGATTTGTAGCAAAAAATGAGGTCGCACATCACATCAGACAGTGTCAATGCTCAGAAAATTGTATGGCCAATTTTTGTCAAGAAAGAATAACATAACCTCGAGTATAATAGTTCAGCAACTTTAAACTCTCATTTCCTACAACTAACTTAGGATTTTTTTTATTAAAATCCTCCATAGAACACCAATACTTTATTTTGGCACCTCTAAAGTTAAAAATTATAGACATAAGACGGTGCCCGAGGTTCTGTAACTCAGTATGAAATGTCAGGCCCATATTTTGTTTCATTACAGTATCAGTTCTTGCCAACTTAAAAAGTGACTACGACCAATTGTTATAGAGTCTAAGTCATGTAATCTACAGGTATAACCATATGACAGTATACATCATACCTCTCAAATAAATTGTTACAAAACAAATAAGGTACAATTCTATTACATAGGATATATTACCATGCCTGAAAGGAAAGGCATAGGATATTCTCTCATTGAAATACTTTACCTTCTCTAGTCAAAGTACTGTCAAGAAATTATCCATTCACATTCATTAATAGCAATCTCTCCCAGCAAAAATAGAGAAGAGTATGAGAAAATGACTAAAGGAAGAAGACCAAAAAATAGGTCATATAGGTACCTAATCATAAACCTTGTTGATCCTGGATCTCCTTGTCTGCCTGCTCTACCTCGAAGCTGTTAAAAAGTAATTACGACTAAGAATGAAAGATATGGTAAAGACTGAAACAAATATTGAAAATTATTATGATACCCACACCAATAAGTTAATCATATACGCAATGTCCTGCTAAGTGCTAATTAAGTTGATCCATGTTTCATCACCAGTATAGTGTCATGCAATGCATAAACAACTAAGTGCAATTATATTCAGTAAAGTCAATAAAGGGAATCAGGTTGAACAAGAATACATTTAGTAATGCAATGTCACTCGCTGATCTGCATTTAACGCTCTGTCATGTAGGTGAGGGTCCAACTTGGAAGGCACAAACAAGGCGAAGTCATCAAGTAAAACCATAAAACAACACATCTTATTAAACATAACGATACATGTTCAGCAGAGGTGGCACCTGATATTTTATCAACTTGATGTGAATAATTGACCCAATTAAGTTTTCCCTAATAGTAAGGAGTAGTTTTCAACTTAGACTTTGTTATGCTTTTTTGTGCTTCTGAGTGTTTTAGTATCAGTGTGTGAGTGTGTGTGTGTGTGTGTGTAATCTCTCTCTCCCTGAGGGAAAGGGATAGAACAATCAGATGATAGCTGATAAGATGCAAGATTGCAAGACACTATCTGGGAGAAAAACAAAAGAGTACCCAATTATGGCAAGGCCTCCTTAAAGGCTAAGTCAGAAGCCAGATTGCTAGAAGTGTGTTTTAGGCAGGAGTTGTCTTATTCTAGTTTCTGACTTTGTTATGTGTTTAGAGGTGAGCCGTACGACACTGTTGTAACTATTTGGGCTTTCTAGCCTACTTTTGAATAAAGTTTACTATGCTATTTCAAACTAAGGAAAAAACAGTGAAAAAAATAGAGAGAAGATATGGGGGAAGGTCAGATTTGTTGTCATATCAATTCCCTTATATTTGACACTCACCCCAGCCCCCAGGTCACCTAAACATATGGAAGATACTGAACCTACATGATTTGATCTTATAGAGGTATTTTTTTTTTTTTTTTTTTTTTTTTTTGGATAAGTTCAGGATAGCGGGAAAACTTTAAAAACGATCACTCACCTGATTATCAATTCTACGAGACTCGTGCAAAGATGTTCCAATCACATGAAGCCCACCAAGCCTTTTGACCTCATTTCCTTCATTCAAGCAGTGTAATTCACAATCACTCAGAACCGCTTGATAAGCAAGAGCCAGTGTAGGACCAAGGGGGTACATCTCAGACTCTTCTTCGGCGAGCCTCTGTAGCTCCTTAGAGTTGACTGACTCACTCAATTGGACAGACTCAGAAATCGTAGACTTCACCTGCTGATATGTCCAACTCTTACCCTCACTTTTTCCCACATATTTGGCTGCATAGTTTTGCTATATGTTATAGATGGCAATATTGAACTAAAATCAGATTAACAAATGCGTTGCAATATTTGCACCAATGACAATAAAAATAAGATTCCAACCAACCAATTAAGGACGCCTTCTCAAGCAACGCTAATGTTGATGGACTGATATCCATTTTTGACATTGCCTTGAAAAGTGGAAAGTGCACTTTAGATAAAGGAAAGGTAATTCACATTTACAACCAGTCACCAGATCAGACATTACCTCAAATTCAGGAACTTCTCGTGATAACAATGGTAGCAATTTCTTCTCTATTAATCCTTTCGCAAGCATCTTGACATTAATAAGAATGAATCATGGTTAGATTAATCCTTTTGCAAGCATCTTGACATCAATAAGATCGAATACCATATCATAAGCATCTCAATCTTCCCCTTTTTTTTAGTCTAACTGTTTCAAGTTCAGTTTGAGGAGGGTAACACAGCTATTCTTTTGATTTACCCTCAAGATGGACATACCAAATTCACAGAATTTGGAGAACTTCCCCAGAACAATTTTAAATCCTTAGATAAGGAAAGATTAATGGAAAACAATATTATCTGTAGTTCCAGTCCTGGATTTTCGCAACTTTAACAAGGTTCTCTTTAAATTTTATATTCCGAGTGTTTCTTTCAAGTATTCAGCGTCAAGCAAGAGCATAAGGCCGTAATGAATTATTTTGGATTAAATTCTAGTCCTCTAAAAATACTCCTTGTAAGATGAAGACTCTGAAGTCTGATCTGTGAAAGATTACCATATTCTGCTTTATTACTACGTGCCCATGGATATCAAAACTCAATACCTGGCCATTGTCCAGTACCGAGACTTCACTTGAAGAGAAACTTTAAAAACCTCTGTAAACAAATCAACACTTACTTTTGGGTTTCCCCCTAAAATAATGTCTGTGCCTCTGCCAGCCATATTTGTAGAAATGGTAATAGCATGTTTCCTCCCTGCCTGGGCAACTATTTCAGCTTCCCTAGCAGCATACTGGAAGATCAATCAATAAGAAGAAAACAAACTTGAGAAAAATATTGAGCCAGGAAACAGATTTATATGTGTGTGACAGTAAATCAAATCATATTACCTTGGGTCTTGCATTAAGAACATTGTGTGGAATATTTCGTCCCTTTAGAAGATCAGACAAATGTTCAGAGTTCTCAACACTGTAATACGAATATAAGAGTAGTTTTTCAGTAATGCAGAGAAGTTCAGATAGAGCATAAATAATGATAACTAACCACTTCTGGCACTTACTTTTCCCAAATTACAACCAGAGTAAAACTTAGCATACCCAGATGGTACAACAAATAAATAGTAATAGCTCTACAAACGGGATAAAAAATAACCAAATAAGATAGAATGAGCCATCCACAACATATAAGTTCTCATGCATTATCAACTTATGCCATGCATACAGAGCAGCTAGGATTATGGAAATCATTTTATATCTCCGCATATTATGAACAAGATCTCCTTTCTAGCAAGGAAATCAAAATATCTGCAGTCATCACTAGCTTCTGTTTCACATCATCATTACTTCACTTGTCACCAAGTGCCAACTTTATCACATAAGGAAAATGGAATCTCCAATAACACAAAGAAACATAGTTCAATAAATTATACAAATGGCCATGTTCAACGTCTCTTCCACCTCCATTTTGCACCAGTAGGGTAGAGATTTACTAGATCAGATATTCACAACCAATAGTTCCCACAGTCAGACATAGCCACTTCTCCATAGTTTCAGATATTCATAATTTTATGCATATATAAAGTCTTCTTTTTCCAATAAGTCCGTACATCACAGCTCTCTATTGTTTCAAATTTTATATAATTTTATCTACCCATATTCTATGATCCTCTGCTTTATCAAAATTGAGACTATTATTGAGCTCCCCATAACCCTCAAACACTTTTCAAAATCTATCTGGGTTACTTCATTCAAAGTCTTCATCCAAATTTAGTCCATCCCTGGATGAGGATTCAAGGGTTGTGTGATCCCAGGCCTAACCTCTTTATCCATGTCCACTAGACACAAGAAACTACTAAGAACAGTACTTTCATGAATTTTATATACCACGGCCATTTTGGTTTAGCACTCCATCAAAACTTTATTCTCCATCGTCCTTTAAACTGATATTGCGCGCTAAAACTGTCCCTATATCATTTTTCTTCCATAAACTGTAAAGATTATATGGTTGAAAATCTTCAAATTTGGGATTTTGACATTGCTATTGCTTTCTTCTTCTATTTCCAGAGACAAGGACACTCTTATAAGAACCCTTACCACATTTCAGCAATTCCAGAGGGTTTGTTCCAATGGAAAAATATGTCTAGGCCCCTCACCAATAACCATTATCCTTCCCAGCTTACCTACTTGACTCACAAATACAACATCATGTGTATGAAAGACGCACAAAAGTAAATCAGATTACACTATTGACGATGAGCATAATAAATGTAGAAATACAGGATTGAAAATTCATACTCCATATCATACGAGACTTAACCAATTATGAGGGATTTTACTCCACTTACAACAAGGATAAACAAACTAGGTTCTAATTTGAGGTTCTCAAGGATCTTGCCAACCCCATCTTTGGGATTAAGCTTTCAATTGTTGTTTGTTGTTGTAACTTGTAAGTATCTTCCCTAAGATTCAGACTAGTGATTGATAAACTAGCAAGGTATCTTGTTAAACATGGACTCTTTAAACACTTCTTGTGGATAAAGGAAAAAAAACTCAATATTCCTGATTTTTGAAACAAATTTATAGAGTTTAGCTGCTTAGCCATGCAAATTTTTTGGAAAGCTTTAGGATTTGACCATCCCCTTATGACTCCAAATCCAACTAAACAACTTTTTAAAGATAGTTCTCCTAAAAGCCAAGCTTTACCAAGCAACCATGTATTATAAAACAAATAGATCTAATATTCCCAATTAGACAATCCAACCAGTGCACAAAACAAGTGCTGCTTGCCTTATCTTTTTCTAACATAACTACTATCCCAATATATAAATTATAAATCATATAATCAAATCAAGGCCCTCATATATACACTAATTATATATGCAGCCCTCTTATAATTTCCTGCTGCTCTATTTAAGTCAAATATAGAAGTTTAATCACAATTGGCCCCCAACAAAATAAAAGCCAGCCCATAAATCAACTAAGGTGGCCCATGCAAATAAACAGGCACACGTTTGGAGCATCAAACAAGAACTTAGATGAAATTTGATATTTTGCTTCTTGTTTCCCATGATATAACAGTTACACATATTGCTACTTGTTTCTGATTACAGAGTATTTCAAACCCATATATATCACATTAGACAATTATTTTTAATATTAGCCAGATAAAATTTAGAAGTAAAAAAAAAAGAAAAAAAAAAAGCAAATAAAATAAAGTATTGTGGGTCAACAGGATGCATGTGCATTCTGGTACAAAGACTCCAAAGATCAAATTGGGCTACTTTCATAATTCTCTTTATGTATTTCCGTTTTCTCTTTGGTTAAATTTATAAGCATCCAAATGCATTATTTGTAATCTAGATCCCAAAGTCAGAGACCACTAGTGTATTACTGTAATATGAGACTTGGCATAGAAATAAATTACAGTTAAGTAGAATCTATTAACACTACCAAAAGAATTTAGTTAACTAATGAAAAAGAAACTTATCCATATCATTAAGATGACGTATGAAAAGAAATCACACAACAGCAGCTTAAAATCCCAGGTACCTAGTTGTGCCAACAAGGACTGGTCGACCCAATTTGAACATAGACTCTACCTCTCCACTGACATGCTCCCATTTTCCACGTGCGGTCTGAAATTATGTACAATAGGAATGACTGTTATACAAAAAGCTCACTATTAATTTGTTTTTCCAAGAACCATAAAGATCATCTTTAAAACTTGAAATAACTTCAAACCCTACAGCGAAAGCCTGGATAGGTAAGTCTTGTCGAATATTAGGAAGATTTGTAGGGATTTCGATCACTGGCACGTGGAACATTTTGAGGAACTCCTTTTCCTGTGAAAGACAAGAACATCAACACCAGGAAAGAGCAATTGCTTTAAATAAATATTTTTTGGAAAAAAAAAAAAAAAAAAAAAAAAAGATAAAAACTCAGTTTCCGGTGTTGAATTACTTCAGTTTTTGCAGTTCCAGTCATCCCGGACAATTTTGGGTACAATTTAAACAGCGACTGATATGTTATTTGTGCCACAACAACAGAATCAGCCTGCAAAAATAATTGATAAGGGTAGATCAAGTTATGGAAAGGATTACCAGTAAAGTTAAGGAAGAAACAAAGAGAACAAATAATCATATACCTGAATCTTTAAACCTTCCTTCGCTTCCACAGCTTGATGAATGCCGTCAGACCATCTCCTTTTTTCTTCAACTCTGCCTGTCAACTGAAACAATATAGAAATCATTAACATTATCATGATTTACGAACATCATTCCAATTTGACAAAGGCTAGGAAATGAAACATAAAATTTATGATAAACTTGTTTTTATAAGAATTTAGAAATTTTGCAGCTTCCACCTTATATAGCAGCTCTTGTCTTCACTCTTTTCCAATGAAATAACTTAAAATATTATTGGAGTTTATAAGAATGCTAAGAACTGTATGTCTGTACCCAATGTGCCAAACAGTCTAACTAAGCAATAGTGTATTGACATTTTAGAGATAGTAGCGATTTTCAGTTGAGCTTGTGTTAATATATATCTAAATAATTAATTACAAAGTAGACATTATGAAATGGAGTATTATTTTGCAAGAAACTTACCCATATCCTAATAAGCTTAATTCTAATTTGTTAACTCAAGATTATAGCAGATTAGCAACAAATCTTTATTCTGTTGCAACTAACAAAACAGATATACCATACAACAATTGGAGCCCATGTGACCACAATGCATGAAATATATAGCCTTTTCTATCTGTTGCTTCTAATGTTGCTGAAAGTGTAGAACTCCTGTACCAAACTTTTCTGAGTGTTGACTTGAAACTGGCAAGATTTTGATCTTAAACGTATAATACATTATAAAGTTAAATTGGTACCAAAATCAATCCACAACGTGATATTTTTCATACATACAAGGTCTATTCCCACATAGAATCCTGCACTCTTTCATTTCAAGATATCACCAAATCCAACCCTGTATAGAACCATCCTTCGTTTCAAAATATCACCCAATAATGCTCTATTATTCATTGTTCACCATATAAGAATGACAAAACCAATGGTACAAGTATATCTTTAAACATAAGCAAACAATGAATAAGCAAGTTAACATTAAGACTAATGATGCCTAATTTATTTAATAAGAAAAAAGGATTGTATCAACAGCTCGGAAATAGGTGTAAAAGAAAAAGACGACAAGCCGCCCCCTAAAATAGAAAAAAGTAAACTACAAATTAGCGCAGTTCCTTTGAACCTCCCCCAACCATGTTATCTTTGAAGCCCCCTCCAACTTAGCCCATAATGACACCAAATAAGTGACTTCGTCCCACAATAAATCAGAAGACAAAGAAACTAGTGAAAAGACACAGACGTTGAGCAGCGATGTCCTATAGTTTACCTCATTGATTATAAGAGCCTTCCCACTCCTGACTATGTACTGAACGTCTCGTCGATAAAATTCTTTGGCCTTCAAAGCATTTATAACAAATCTGCAAGATCACCATTACTGCACAATTATTTTTTTTATTTTTTTTTTTTTGAAAAAGAAACCCAAGGATGATTCTGAATGCAGCTTATCATCCAGTTTCAAGTGAACAATTAAGACAAATCAGGGAATCCTAAACAATAAAACAAAGCATCTACCAGCAAAATTAATGAACGGCTTAACAGGATTTCAATAGCTTAGGTTATGAATACTATCAAAGGAAGCAGCCAGTTAACATACTTAGCATATGGTAAAATGTAAATACAAGTTCAATGACTTCAATAGCCGTATTGAAGAGCAATTGCACAGATTGATTAAAGAACTAACGGCTTGTTTGGTTAATGGCAAAAAATAATTGTAGTGAAAATGATTTTATACGTTATGAAGAATGCTCATGCCAATATCCATGGTCAGTCCATTCCCAAATACCTCATTTTCTTTCAGTAATTTTCACTACCATTAATTTTCACAACCATCCATTACCACTTTTGAATTGAGTGGTAATGGAAAAATATTTTTTTTTAAAAAAAAAAAAAACAACACATGTTTGGGATAGAGTTTCATGATCATGGTAATGAACATGAGCTATCCTTAGCAAAGCGGTATACACATTCATTACTCTTTCCTCAATTTATTACCGTTTACCAGGCGGTAATATAATAGATTAAACAAATGCATGGACATAACAAGTTGGGAGATATACATAAAACTGAAAAAATCATCTCATGCATAAGCATGGTAATACAAATTCCACTTTCACCTGGCCCAAGGATCATCTTCATCCCACAGATCGTTGGTTTCAAGAGCCAGCTCAGCCAAAGAAATACCTTCTTCTGTCAGTTCCACCGAATTATCCTTGAGCTCTACATTATAATGCTGTCACAAAACCCACATGCTTAGATACATAAATGTGACAATGAAAAGAAAGGGCCTCACCAAGAACTCTATCAATTGCTGAAAAGAAAAGCATAGGACTCACAATACCCCGCACAAGTAACTCTGCTACTTTGGCTGCAACAGGGTAGCGGGCAGCATCTTCATTGGCCTAAGAAGGTATGATATAACACACTTTTAGTAGGATGTTGTTAGACCTCCAAAGTATTCACATATTGTTATGGATCATATACTATAAGCACAACATATACAGAGAAAGTAAACTACCTGCCCACTTATCAGTAAAGGGTTTCTTCCTTCATCAATTAGAACAGAATCGACCTCATCAACTATTGCAAAATGAAATGGCTTGGGCCTGTTAACAATATCCTGATTAAACTCACTTAGAGCAAACAAGATAAATTTAACAGAAATTCATAAATTATTAGAAAAATTACCATCTCATTACAAGCTCTCCACTAGTTCCGGCAAGATTATCCCGTAGATAATCAAAACCAAGCTCCTGAAGTGTACACATAATGAGACGAATGATTTAATTCAAAATATAGAAATACGAATGCAATAATTGAAATACAATTATAAGACATCTGTACCAGGCACATCAAGAATTGCCACAACAGCAGGTGACAAATTCCGAGGTTCTAGCTGATGAATTATGTTCAAAAACTTAAACAATGAAAAAGAAATGAGCATAAGGATACATACTGCATTGTTGGTGTAAGTTATATCACATCTATAGTTGAATCTCCTCTCCTTAGCCTTCATTCCCTTCTACACTTGTCAGAGAGAGAGAGAGAGAGAGAAAGAGAGTAAAATCAAGATGCAGTTTACAAACACATAAATTCCCAAAATTATATCAAGGCAGCATGCATGACGCAATGTCCTAGACTATGTGAATTTAAATTAATTACACACATAACTCAAGTTCACATTGAAAAGCTTATTTTTACCTGAATGAGACCAACTGATAGACCTAGGAAATGATGAACTCTGCCCATCCACTCAGCATCACGACGAGCAAGATAATCGTTGACAGTTACCACTGCAGCAGAAAAACTGATTGAATCAGCAATGACGTTCTTGAAGTAGCTTGAAGAACGCAGTTGCAATAGACTCTAAAAATCCTATGTTTGGAGCGTAAATGTATGCCTAAACAGGAAGTGTTCCTCACAAGAAAGAAAGTCTCAGGAATATTGTATCTTTGCCTCATAAGATCATTAAGCCTTAAACACTGAAAGTTTGAAAATTATTCTGGATATTTTTCTCACAATGCATATGCCAACAGCCAAAGTAACTTATGATCTTCAGCAGTTCCCATAAGCAATGTATCCAGAAAACAATCACCGACAACCATTATGATGATACTAGTAGAATATATAGATCCTATAGGTCTCATTATTTCAATGACACATCTAGATAAGTAGATATTATTAGAGCTCAGCAACATAGACAGTAATTAGGTATTTTTTCTTAAAAACAATTGACTACACCCACTGGCAGATCCAATATAGGTTCAGTGGGTTCACATAAATTAGTTGAATAGAATTCAATGCACATATATGTAGCAATATTTTCTGCAGCTCAGCGGTAGGAACACCACCTACGATGTCAAAGGTAGCGGGTTCAATTATGCCCGGGATCCATTTTTCGTATTTATTCATTAATTGGCCTTTACTTACTCGATACCCCAATACCAACCATTACCCAAAATACCAACAGAACCTAACACGAAAGTTTAGTCACATTTATGGGAAAAAAAAATAAAATAAAAAATTCAAGTTAAGTATGAAGATGTAATAGATCGCTTTCAAAACTTGAAAACTCGCCGCGCTCAATTTTACTATATTTTTTTAAGTTGTAATTTTTTAACGTGTACGCTCAAATTATTAATTGTAATTTGCATTTAGGATTATACTATTTGATATCATCATATGTGTTTAGTGACTCCGAAGCCATAAGGAAATATTTTTGTATCCGCCACTGACTACACCAAAGCCTTAATAACATAAACACCAAGAAAAGGAAATAAGTATGGCGATCATGGACAGTCAAATATAGGAAATAGGTAAGATAATCATGTTTTTGGTGTATCTAAGGCAAAGGAAAAAGGGATAGTAAAAGCTTAAGCCATCTGAACAAATTGGATTCGCAAAAATCAGTTTTTGTCCTTTTTTGACAAGATAAAATAGACATCCATATAATTAAGAGCCAAAATTGATGGATTATGGCATTAATTTCACTCAATGTATTCATAAAAGACACTGACATACCATGTACGCCTTCTCCTGTCAAGGCATTGAGATATGCAGCTAATGTAGAAACCAATGTCTTCCCTTCACCGGTTTTCATTTCAGCAATTGAACCATCATGAAGCACTGCTCCACCAATTATCTGTACAAGCAAGCAACATAACATGATATTAAGATTTTATCCAGGAGCGAGCGCACAAAGTCAAATGAGTGCGGTTTGAAAAGGCGCCTAAGCATTGAAAGAGATAGGCTACCTGGACATCAAAATGACGCATTCCAAGAGTCCTTTTTGCTGCTTCACGAATAACAGCAAATGCCTCTACAAGATCCAAGTCATAACTAAACAATCAATCAAACTACATAAGATATTGTCCTTAATCAAATAATTTACTGACCAGCTTGAATATCAGCTAAGCTCTCCCTAGTGCCAACCGACGACGAAACTCCTCAGTCTTAGCCTTCAACTAGAAATCCCCAACAACAGAAACAATTTTCAAACACCCCCAGATAAAAAGAACATAACTTTATAAACAAACATGAATAACCCACAAACCTGGTCATCAGAAAGACTCTGAATCCGAGGTTCCAGAACATTAACAGAATCCACAAGACGATAATAATCCCTAACAACCCAGTAATTTAAACTAGTAACATCGTCCAATTTCTTCTTAACTTTACCAAAACCCTCCTACAAGAAAATAACCCACATAAAACATAACATCAGAACAAACAGTTCATTGAGGCATTACAACAAACGGGTGGTGGGCAAACACAATCACACAAAAGACATTAAAACAAACCTTGAGAAATGCAAGGGGAACTTGTCTAGGACGATAATTAAAACGCCGAGAATGAAGAAGAAAGCATGAATTTGATGAAAGACGAGGAAATGCAAAAATGGGTGGTGTAGTTGTGAGCTTGGTGGAGTACCAAAGGGGGAGAAGCGGCTTAGTATAATAAGGGGAGGTGAGAAAGGCGGATGGCACGGCGGCCATGAGAGATGCTGCGAGTTTTGGCCCCTCTTCCGGTGGTGGTGGTGGTGCTTGAAACTAAGTATGCTGCAAGTGCAAGTATTACAACCTGGTCTCCTGCGCCTCAACTATGGCGCCTAGCCCGGTTTTGATTTGTCAGTACTTTTAGGTGTTCGGTAGGGACCTCGGTCTTACGAGATCTATTAACTAATATTAAAATAAAACATGTATACATCATCGCTCCTCTAAATTATACACATGTTTCTCTCACATTATTTTCTTACCCGCCAATTTTCCATGATGATGTCATTAGTTTTTTTTTTAAAATTTACCTTTGTTTTTTATTATCTAATAAACCTTTCATATGTTTCACCCTTTGTCCCTATCAAATCTTTTTTTTACAGGTATATTAATATTTCAATGTTCAAAAGTGTTCATTGCGATTTTTTATTATTTATTATTATTATTATTTTTTGTATACTTTACAAGTAATATGCTACCGTTTAAATTACTTACCATGTATTTAAAAAAAATATTACGAAGTAGAAAACTTTCTTTCTCTATATTATAAACAAATCTCAATTGTGCATCTCACGAGAACTAAACTAGTTAAAATACTAAAATAAGATTACCGTAACACTTATACTTGTACGGGTTTTTTTTTGTTTTTTTTAAGTGTCCCAATTTTAGTATTGTATTTTAATGCATAATCTATCAATACATAGTAATATATATAATACTCTCTCCATCTCTTTATTAAAAACCTATTTGGGTATTTTCACGAAAATTAAGAAAGTTAGTGGAAATACGTAAATGCATGTGGGGTTAGAGAGAGATAGAAGGAAAAAAAAACGTGGTTGGAAATAATTGAAGACAGTGTTGGAAATTGATGTAAAAAGTCATTATTATTACAAAAAAGTGATGACAACTCATCAAAAAGTGAAGAATATTCTCAAATAGTATAACCTTAAAATAGAAATAGGTCTTTGATTTTGATTTGCCAAAAAAAAAGAATACTGGTCTTTAATAAAAGGATAGAGGGAGTATTATTAAAACTCATAAGGACAAAGTATGTGTAACCCTTCATTCAATATGATTTGGTGTGCGACAGTGTCACCCTATATGTCATCACCCTTCTCTCGCCATATTGAATTGTACTCCGTAATAATGTTTATTCTTGTTGAAAAACTCTTCATTACCATAATTTTGATTCTCTATAACAATGTTTAATTTATACGAAAAACTCTTTATATGTATAACCTTCTTATTTAAATTTGATGTAACTTCATACGGTTCAACATTTATCCTTCTTAATTAATTTTGATCAAACTTATAAATTTATGATGAAATAATGGGGCATCGCTCGGGTCAATAACTAGTTTTTAATTATTAGTTAATATGAACTGTAAAAAGAAGTAGACATTCAAAGAGTATGTGTTGAAAGAATTTTAACAAGTGCTGAATATTAGTCCATGTGTATTATGTAAATGTTACAAAAAAGTCAAAATAGAGCACTTAAAATAAACAAATGAAAATCGAAAATAGAGTTAATTGTCTAAATTTTTACAGCACATTTTTTGTGTGCCCAGCCACACCATGTGGTCACTTGTTAAAGAAAAAAGTAACCCCTGTAATACTGACCAAGTAACCCATGTAACATTGACTGAGTAAACCCTATTACACTAATGAAGTAACCCCCTTGTAACAATGACCAAGTAACCCCTATAACACTAACAAAGTTACCCCTATGAATTTATGTGATTTTTAAGCTTACGGATTATGATTATCCTTGTAGATATCCTTTGTTGATATCATGACTTATTATTAGAGATATTCTTTTTTCTTGTCAAAAATAAAAAATAATAACAATCCTTTGGTATGTCATTTAAGAGAAAATACAAGTTGATTTTATAGATATTCTTTTTACAGATATCAACGGGGTATAATTGACTTTTGCCTCATTTAGTAGGGGTGTTATGGTACATTTACCAAGAATGAGTTAGAGTAATTGTCATGTCAACCTGTAGCATAAACAGGGGCAACAAACAACGCTTGTCCTGAAATTGCTAACATCGGTAGCTGAAATTAAACACCAACTTTTGTTAGAGTGGTAACATTGATCATGGTAACCGCTGGGTAGTTATCTTTCTTGATAATCGCCACCCACGATCCCCACTAAGGAGATATTGCCTAATCAGACCCACTAACTTAGCCTTGTAGGTAACCACTAGGCACTTACTAGGTCATACCGGGTAACCATCACCTCCCATGATCCATGGTAGGCATCAACCACATTCAGTCTTCACTAGACTCCACAAGTCTAGCATCTCTCGATTGATGTGTTAAGCCATGGTGCACCAGACCTGCATGAGCCTAAACTCAAACTAAAGTTCGTCCTAGACATTGCCCTTCGTGCCATAGCCCCCATAGGCATTCCTATGTCCAAGGTTACGCCCATGGCCAAGGGCAATGGAGCCACCCATGGTTGGTCGTGCGACTCATGAGTGAGCACCTTCGTTCCCTTGACCTTTTTAGTGTGTCCCATCTTTGCGGGATCAAACCGATGCTTTGCTAGACAATCTTAACATGACATAAAGATGCTCGTTCTTGGGATCGACCGTGGCCTCCCAAGTCCCCATGCACCGGACTAGGGGCATGCAAAGTAGCACCTATGTTAGCGCGGGGATCTTAACCCTCGACGGTAGCTATTAGCTAATACTCAGGGCCGGTTAAGGGCCTGTGCAAACAGACCCTTAGCACAGGGCCCCGAAATTTTAAGGGCCCAATTTCACTTGGAGCCCAATTTTATTAAAAAAAAAATAATAATTCTGTTTGCAGCGTGTCTTACGTTTACAAATTAATTCTCCAAATTCATCTACTCCATAATTACCTCTGTCAATTTGCAATCCCCATAAATAAATTTTCCATCTTAATAACTCTCCTTTATTAATCAGCCTTTAATTCTCACGTATTACCAAAAAAAATGAAGTTAATAATCCCACGGTCCACCTTCCTCTTTCAATGGCTATGAGTATGGAGTAGTATTTTTGAATAGTTGAATTGCTTCTAATAGAAAAACTAATTCCATGTTCTTCATAATTAAATTAGTTATATGTATCAAAATCCAAAGTTTTTCAAACGCCAAAAATTGGATTACTCATTATTTACTCGATTATCAATCAAAATTCAATCAATGAACCATTCATATTACTCATATATATGGTATGTGTTATTTACTCTGTTTTCTTCCCTAATACAGTAGTACTTTGATTTAATTTTCTTTGAGCTTATTTATACATTTTTTAAGTGGAAGTAAAAGAAATTGGTAACCTTTAATTGTGATAAGCGGCAATGGGGCTTTTAGTATTTGGAATTTGAACAAGTTGAACTAATAGGTTGTTTCTATCAAATTTTTTATTTGACAAGTTGTTTCTATCATATTTTTACCTTCATTTATTAGTTTAATTATTTTTTGAAGGGGAAATTTATTAGTTTAAATTAATTATATACAAACTTTTAGAAAATCGGGTGTACAATAATTATTGTACATCCACTATAAAAATAGACTAAATTGATCAAAAGTTACCCCTAAAATAAATAAAAGTTACCCTAATATGCATAAAAGTAATCCAATACAAATAAAAATTATTAGTAAAGAATCACATTTTAAATGACTAAAAATCAATTATTTGTGATTAAATGTAATTAAATTACCATTATATAACTTTTCTTATTGTCTATTTATATAAAAATTGTATTATGTTAAAAGTTACCCCAAAAAAAGCAAAAAGTTATCCTAAAATTAGGTAAAAGTTACCCTTATACAGCTCGATGTACAATAAAATTAGTGTAAACCGGGTGTATACAAAAGTTTTTGTAATTACAAATGTTTGTAATTTGTTATTAATTATAATCGAAATAATTTTTCTTAAATGAGTTAAATAAAAATTGCATCTTTTTATTAGGGTCCAAATTTTAGGATTAGAACAGGGCCCCAAAATATGTAAGACGGCCCAGCTATTACTATTTTTCAATATTACAACAATGTCATTAATCGGGGTTTGCTCCACTTACCATACTTTACATCACTTTCTTAATTAATTTTTTTTTTTTTTTTTTTAAAAAAATGATGTACTTACAAAATCATCTTCCACAACATCGAACACGTAACAAAGAAAATTGAAAGAAAATAAAATAAAAAAACAAAGTACTCGTTAAAAGACAAAAAGAACAACAAAAACACGTAAATGATTGACGAAGCGACATCTATCTTTCAGAGGAGCGAGCAACCCAGAAAGAAACACAGAGAAAGAGGAGAGAGATTTCTCTCTTCCCTATTTCGTGGCTTTCTGGGTTAGCAGATCATATAATTCATTATTCATCCAATTTCCGCTTATTTATCTTTCAATTCACAACTATATTAACACACCCAATTCCCTTTTTTGTTCATCAATTTATGCACCGACAAAAATTTCCCAATTTTTGTATTCGAAATTATTGTACTTTGAGTTCAATCTGAATAAAATTTGGGGAAAACCCAGTTGAAATTTTTACAAAAATGGATGATTTTGGTGTTTTAGTTGAAGGGTATGGGATTAAATCCCAAGGAAAATCAGCTCCAATGGCTGCATCTAAAACTGCAGCTAAAAAACCCAATAATTATACCTCTGTAAATCTAGATCCGACTTTTGGGACCAAACCCTTTTCAAATTCTACACATAGTTCAAATTTAGGAAGTGGGTCTTTTTTCAATGATCAAAATGATGATATTTTTGGTCTTAATTCTGTTAATAAACCCAATAATTATGCAAGTTCGGATGTTTTTGATGATGTGTTTCAAATACCTGCAACCAATTCTGGTTCTTCCAGTGGAGGTGGGGTTGGAGGGTTTGGTTTCGATGTTGAATCCATGCTCAAAGGCTCATTGAATTTGAATTCGAGCTCGAATTCGAAGGCTTCGGATGTTAGTGATGATCTAATTTGGGGGTTTTCTGGGAATGGGAGCTCTAAAGCCTCTAATGTGGTGCTTGAAACTGATGATTTATTGTCATCTGATCCTGTTGATGATTTCTTTGGAAAATTGGGAAATTCCGGTCCGGCTCGAAGTGGTTCTGTAAAGACGGGATCGGACGATTTGATACCGGGGTTTGGGAGGAGCAATGCTGCCAATGATAGGTATGCAACTGCTTGTTTAGCTTATTATTATTGTATGTTGATTTCATGTTATTGCATAATTAATGAGCTATAGTTGGCTGAATATTGTTTTTGTGTGCATATTTTACTGGTATGATTGATATTTGATGACTTAAAGATATATGAGCTGCATGCAGTAGTGTTAATTGCCTTTCCTGCTTATTGGATTGGTTGAACTTTGAGCTGTCTTGTGAGATTATTTGATGGGTTCTAATTTGATGAGTTCATGTGTTAAGAGATGAATCCATGCAATGGGTTATAGTATGATGAATATTTGGGTGAATATATGCAATGTGCTTTAGTGTGATGAATATTTCATTGAATATTTTGCTGAATATGCACTTGGTGGTTCTCTAAAACTGTTGAAAGAGCTCAGGCTGCTTCAACAGAGAAGAGTTCAGGTTCTTCTTCTCTTGGAGAACTTGAGGATTTTCTTACTGTCGGGACTAAAAAGACTGTGAAGGGGCATGCAAATGGAACTTCAGTTAAGAAGGTAGAGAAGAAGTCAGTTAGCAAAAAACCAGAGGCGGCAAACTTTATTGATATAGAGGGAAGCTTACACGGTGAAAGTGCACATAGCTATACGGCGAAGAAGGCAAGTGATCTAATGTTTCAAGAGGAAGCACAGGATCTGGATTCTTTTTTTCGTGTTACAGGCGAGACCAAAAAGACTGTTAAGGGGTATGCAAACGGAACTTCAGTTAAGAAGGTAGAGAAGAAGTCAGTTAGCAAAAAACCAGAGGAGGCTAACTTTATCGATATAGAAGGAAGCTTACATGATGAAAGTGCACATAACTACAAGGCGGAGAAGGCAAGTGATCTGATGTTTCAAGAGGAAGCACAGGATCTGGATTCTTTTTTTCGTGCGCACACTAGAAAGAGTGCACCTGTAACTGAAGATACATCTATGGTACGGCCACCCTCTCAAAAGAAAAGGAACTCATGCTGTCTTTTTTATTTTATTTATTTTTTATTTTTAAATATAGGATGCTAACAGTTGTCACATATCAGAATACAAAAACCAATGAAGTACCGGATCTGTTTTCTGAAACAACTTTTGGAAAAGAGAAAATAGTACCACAAGGAGGAATTCCTGATGACTTAACATCAATATTTGGAGGTATTATCACTTGGTATAAGTTTTTGCGTTGTAGCTTTTTTGATAACATTTGTTAACTATTTCTGATGATTTGAAACATATTGATAGGTGCCCCACCGTCTAGAGTGTTTGAGGAGTGCGACGGAGAAAGTGATGAAAGAAGAAAATTAAGATATGAGCGTCACCTAAAATCTACGGCACGTATGGTAAGTGGACTGGCTCAGGACTATTGAATATATATGCCAGTGGCTGGTGTTTGTCTTTGGTTTCAAGTGATGTTATTTTTGTGTTGTTAATGTTAACTGGTTTTGCTTCCTCTTATTATGTCTTATCTGTTCATAAAGAGTGGATATCATTCTGAGTAAATTTTTGAATGATTAACAGTGAATTATGAGAGTTTCTATCCACTACCTTTGATAAGTGATAACAAGGTTGAGGGGAAGGAGATAAGGTTTTGTATTAGTGGAGGCCAAGGAACTCCTTAATTGAGTCAATTTGAATTGTCTTTTACTGGTATATTATATTAACTTCAATATATAATTTTCTGATATTGTTGAACCTGAGGCAAAAACAGGGGAAGGAGAGGCAAGAGAACTCTCATATCCCTTCATAAAGGGCTATCAATTTTTGGGGCATTCAAACCTTTCTTTCCATGAAAGAAGTTTGATCATTTCTTTTTGTGATGGAGATTGCACGGGTAGGGATATTAGACATTGCAGCCTACCCAAGAAAAGCTAACAAGTCTTATTGTTTAGGAGACGAATCGTAGGAAAACTAGTTAACCAATTACTCAATCTATTGTTTTGCTTATTATCTAAGTCCCCCATATAAGTAAGAATTTCTGAGAATTTGAAGCAGCTACGGCACCCATTGGTTTTGCACCTTCTAACATAATTGAGTAGATCATGATTTTAAAACTTTTTCTATCACAATTTTATTTCGTTATTCTTTCCCTCTTATATTTAGGAAAGCGGCTAAGGTTCTTAACTACTCTATAAAATTACGAAAGCAGTTAAAGTTCTTAACTAAACAAGAAATTAGTGTTGGGGGCTTCCTGATCCACTTTCAACTTTCCCTTTTGTTTCCACACACATTCTTCCACTTTGAATCTTTCTGGCCAGCGTCTGGATTCTTTCTGCTTTCATGCGTGCTGATGCTTTCAGCCTTACTCAAACAGGGGATAGGGCCAATAGGATGTCTCCAAAACCTACACAAATGGAGGCTGATGACCTTGGACTCATAACAGGATAGAATGAAGCTTTTTCCATATAGCAACTTCCTCCATTATAGGAACCTTCTGTCATCAGTCCTCCTATTCTGGTCAACTTTATAACCAACAACCATTGTTGTCTAGTCTTGGTTGAAATCTTTCTCCTAGTGAAGAGGAAGATGCTAAGCTAATGGAACTGTTGCATTGTAGTTTTTTGATGGTCTCTTTATCTATGCATGAATGATGATAGCATTCACTATAGATTCAGCATTACGGAAAATACGTGTCAAATATATAGCAGATTTGGGCACTATAGCCCGGATGAATCCTATTTTGGCTATTACTTTCTCTATTACTATGCTTTCTCATGCCCTATCTTGTTATGGAGTAGTTGTAACAGTTTAGCTTTAAAGGCACTTTGGTGGACCTATATGCTGATTTTGTGGAAAACTATTTGAGACATCTTATAAAGGAAGTTCCATTAATCATCAAGCAACAGCTTTTGTAGTTATTGGATCTCTACTATGTAGTTGGGGTATCTATATTGTTGATGTTCTAGATAGGATATTACAAACTTTGCCGATGTATTAGGTTGATGTTTCATAATGGACATTAATTGTTTTATTGAACTCCTGAAGACATGGCTTAATTAACCTATCACCATGGTGTTAGTTATGCTGCTGAAATTACATGATTTTGTTCATTTTATATAGACACATCACTAAGCTGCTATTCTGTATTTCTTTATAGAAACAAGCATTGGAGGATTTGAATCAACGTGAATATAATGCTCAGCAGGAGAAGGAAGAGAGACATGTGAGTAATTCTTTGCAGTTTTTGGTTATAGTTTGGTGCTGTGCCTTTAATTTTGATTATATCTTATTTGTTTGTTTTTCCCTTCCCTTCACCCCCTCACCATCTTCTTTGAGATAGGGTTAGGTAGGAAGGGGAAGGGGAATGGAAATGGGAATGGGAATGAGAACTGATTGTGTGAGTAAGTGTCACCTGACATTGTTGATTTATTGCATATTTGTCTGATTATGTTCTAGAGGATTGCTGAAGCTATGGAAGTGGAAATGAAACGATGGGCTACCGGTAAAGAGGGAAATTTGCGAGCACTTCTGTCATCTTTGCAACAGGTATATTCTGTCGTAACAAAACCCATTAGGGACTCTGATTGCTTTGTGATGACTTCCTTCCACTTTTCCTTCCCTTTTCACATGATTGTCTAATTTTGTTAAATTTAACATATTGTATTTGTATTTAACTAAATTGGAGAATGTGGCATGCAGCTCTTGTACTAGGTGAAATGGTGAATGTATAAGAAAATCTCTTCTGAGCCACAATCTTTAACTCTGGATCTGTATTTGTCATTGGGTTTAAACTTTTGTGGATTCTTTCTTCTTATGTCTTAGATAATGTTTTAGTGGGATTATGTTATTCCTTTATGGTATTCTTTGTATGCTCTTTGAATTGGGTTAATATTTTTCGGTGAGATTGTATAACCTCTCTTCTCTCCATTTGTTTTTCAATGAGCAGGTGCTTGCCCCTGAACTTGGTTGGCGGCCAGTTACTTTAACAGACTTGATCACTTCGTCTCAAGTTAAAATTGCATACAAAAAGGCTGCACTGTGTGTCCATCCTGATAAAGTGCAGCAGAAAGGTGCTAGTCTTCAGCAAAAGTATGTTGCGGAGAAAGCCTTTGATCTACTGAAGGTATCTTTATATTTTTAACTTACTCCATTAATTATTTCTATCAAGGGCCATCGGTCCTATGTGGCCTAGGGCTTGCATGCCTTGCTTTTCATGTTGTGGTTGACTTTCTTGTCAATCTGAGGTACATTTCATTTTACTTTCTAGTGAATTTTGTTAGTGAAATGAAGTTGTGTTGATAAACATGATTTCTTAAATATTTTAAAGGTAATACTGTAATATGATATAGTTTATACTTTATACAACCCTAGGGATGTTGAGAATCACATGTTGATCGGTGTTAATCAAGCTTGATTTTGTTTAATATTTCCTAATCCTTACTTACAACCTTGGGGCTGTTTACATCATTTTCTTCCATGAGTTCCATCTATTAACATAGACTGACCAATTGGAAATGTTTTGACATTTTTTTTCCATGCTAGTATTTGACACCCTTGAATATAAATGGGATATCAAGTTGCAAATTAATTTTGTTGGATCATCAGTCCAGAATTGCATAGTTGGCACAGAAGTGTACACTATGTGTAACCTGGAAATGGCCCCTTCTCCCTACCTCTTCTCTCTCTGTATAATGCTTGTATCTGTTATGTGGGCAAGTGTGTCTTGGCATGTAGGCTATCTTTTTGAATTTTAGTTTGATGCTTTGATCTTTCTATTAAGACTTCTTTTATGATTTTTTATTGTTCGCACTGCTTTATCATGAGCTGTTCTATAAAATATAAACCAGCAGGGGAGGACGGACTTGTTGATTAGTCACTGTCTCTGTAGTCTTTATTGCATCATCACTGTAGTATCTTGTGCCTAGTGATTCACCGTATCTCATACAGAATGATTATGCAAATCATATATTAGGAGAGGTTTTGCTACTACTGTTTTCCCTATTTCCTTCCCTTTTGATCTTCTCCTTTTTTATTGGAGGAAGTAGACCCCCCCCCCCTCTTTTTTTTTTAACTTTTATTATCACTCGGACCTTACCTATTGTGGCATTTTTGCAGGAAGCTTGGAATAAGTTCAATACGGAGGAGCTTCGGTAATTCCTGTTTCTTAGTTCAGTGCATCATGTTTCGTTTCTGTCCTTTGTTGATCATGTGTGCCGACCTTTGTAATCACCCGGAATTTTATATTTGAACAACCAATAGGAGCTTTTTTCTTTTAGCATGTATATGTGTGTCCGTATCAATATTTTATTTTTGGCCAGATCTTGTTCATTAGTCTTAAATCAATGGTAGCGTTTGTTGATAGTAACATACTTAGCCATTTTGTTTTCCTTTTGAAGGGTACATAAGCTGAAATTATTGTACTTGTTATATGTTAATGAATGAAAGTTCAACTGTTCAAGGTAGTTTAGCTTTCTTATATTGCCCTAAACTCTTGCTGTGAATTTGCAGCCTGTGGTATTTCATTTTGAAGTTTAGATCTGAATAATAGCCAACAGTTGTAAAAAAATTACATTTATTATGAAAAGAGCAAGCAGATCGTGATGTTCTGTAGTGAAAGACTGCAAAGAATGACAATTTATAGAAGGAAATCCTCCTCGGTTTAAGTAGTAATAAACACGGGACTATGGGCTAACACATCTTTTCTAATTAATCAAAAGGATGTTCACAAGCTCGATTCAAATCCAAAGTGGGTGTAAAGCCAACCCAACGAAAAAGCTGAACTGTAAAATGTTTGATGTTCGATTAAACCTGAGCTACCAGACTAAACAGTTTATTCAAACCATTCACTGTTGAACGCAGAAAGTTGTTGCCAACCTAAACCCTCAATAACCTCTTCAGAGTTGATATGTGGAAGTCTTAATACTGAAATATCTTCACATAAACTACTATTAAAGATAAGAAATCAAATCTCGTTTATATCATTTACTTTATGTGTCGCCTTTTTATAGAAGGGAACCTACCTTTCGAAGTTGGAAGGCCAAAATATTAGTGTACTAATAACATAGATGTCCCAGAAAACTTAGTCATTCAATACACATACTTGAAAACACAAAATACTTACTAGTGTTACTACACTGCTTTTATAACAGGATCATTGCAAATCAGGGAACATTTAGGTTAATCTACAGGAAAAGCGTATCATTTTTCCTTCACAATGCTATTACCACAGAAACATCTTGAAATCTGAAAACCAACTTTCATCATGCCATTCAACCACACTTAAGCAACATCATCTATTCCAAACCCAAAAACCTTGAAAATTTTAGAGACTCCAGTCCATCCACAAAATTGTTTTCTTAATAGAGTTCTTATAGGACTCACTTGAAGATGCGAGTAAGCGGTTTTATCATCAGGCTTAGAGGCTTCAGCAATAATGGGCTCACAGATGACTTGAAGCTCATTCATCTTTTCTTCAAACTTGGAAGCTTCAGTAAGCTGGAAATTCCAATCTAGCCACTGCATTGTCTTCTCAATGGCATTCTCTATCATCGCCTTATCCTCGATTTCAATCTTCTCTACATAATCTCTCAATATCTCCCACATTTTGTTAGCATAGTTCTCCAAATCATTCTTAGCCTTCACCTTCTTCAAACATTTTTCATCCTCAGCCCTGTACTTTTCCGCCTCTTCCAACAGTCTATCAACCTCTTCCTTTGATAACTTACTCTGATTAGTAAGGGTGATCTTGTTTTTGTTTCCAGTGTCTATGTCCTCTGCGGATACAGTAATAATCATACTTTGTGTGGTACAAGTATAATCAAAGCTATTTCTTTAAATTGCCCATGTGCTTATACTCTCTATATATGAGTAGGAAAATTAATCTTGATTTAACCTTATTACAATGTATAACCGGTTGTATATGTGATGAAATTTGTCAAGTTGAAAGAAATATTGTGGAAAACAAACCTCACCAACAATTCAAAAAATACTCTGTACTTGAATATTACCGTCAAGACTTTAACGAGTACTAATACGAAGTAATAGTGAAGTAAAAGAGAGTAGAGCAAGTAAGGAACAAACCAAAGATAGTGTTGGTGGGGTTGACAGCGACTTGATTTTTTGCAGCACCACCAATAAGACGCTCATTTTGAGTAAAGGCAACCCAAGACGGTGTCGTTCTGTTACCTTGATCGTTGGTGATGATCTCAACACGGTCGTGCTGCCAAACTCCAACACACGAGTAAGTCGTTCCGAGATCGATTCCAATTGCTGGACTTTGTACTTCATCTTTGCCATTCATTGCCATCTTTTAACACAAAACAAATGAGAGAAAATACTGGTTTTGTCTCTTGTCTGCCTACTTTTGATGAGCTCTTGTTTCTTAGTTTCTTTCCCTGTTGCTAGTCTTTATTTCCTTTGCTGTCTTATTTTGTACACTTTTCCATTTCCAAGTCTATGTTCTAGTCAACTTACGTGGACCAATCTATGTTATGTTGATTAGTGTTTTTCTTTTTTTCAACTAGTTGTTTCTTCTGATGGAAGGAATTGGATTTTAAAATTTTAGTGTATCTTTGTCGAGTACTCTCTCTGTTTTTTAATACTTGCTCCATTTTTTTTTATTTCCGGCCATTTTTAACTACTTGCTCTATTTTTTTTTATTTGGAAAACTTCTATAATATTTAATTCATTTCTCTTAACTAGTGAACCCAACATAGATTATACTTTATTAATTTCATATTCTCTCTCCTCCAATTCTCTAACTGCTTTTGCTTTTTACAAGTTTTTATTCTTCTACCAACCCCACTATCTTTATATTTTATTACTTTCTCCAACCAATTTATCCTAAACCTCCACGAATTGAAAAATGGAGCAAGTATTTAAAAACGGAGGGAGTATGAACTAGCACCCCACCACCTCGAAATCATTCCAACACTGGGTAGAAATTGTTACATACACTTGGGTGCACGGTACACCAAGAGTATTTGTTTGCTTATTTGATGTTGTTTGCTCATTTACTCATCAAATGAGCAAACAAATACCCTTGGTTGCACCGTGCACCCACACTGAGAAAATAATCCTATCCTCTTCAGAACAATCAAGACTATTTTTTGCTTATATATTACACTTACAAGGTACTTCTAGAGCTAAGCATGCACTTTGTCAAAGGCAGCTTTGATTGTACCATGTACAAAGTACATATCTAATTGCTGCTAAGAAACATAAGAGGGATAATAATCTAAGTTTTGTTTAGCCTTGGGATTGAAACAAGCTACTCGAAACTTCGAAAGCTTGTGCTTAGTATACATCCATCATCTGATCAAGCAATATAATTGTTCTGATTTAATTTCCAGATTATAAATCGATGACAATTATCATCTTCTTCAGTTGTCAAAAAAAAAAAAAAAAAAAAAAAAAAAAAAAAAAAAACCCTTTACAGAACTTTATAACTTATATCAATCAAGGAAGAGACAATCAACTTCATAATATACGGAGTAGTAAGCAAGGAACAAACATAAAATCACTTATTGCATTACAATCAAATGAAGAGCAAGAGTAATGATAGCAACAATATCAGTAACTAAACTCATTAAATTTTTTGATCAATTAATCTAAACTAAACTTAGTCATAAAACTCATAATCAAAATCTAGACAGATCAGAGAACTACATACAATGTATGTTGGAGAGGAAAATATTACATAAAAAGATTCATTCAATCTAGAAACAAGACTTAATAACCAAATTACGACGTAGACAGAGATAGGTACTAGAACCTAATTTAGTAATTCGGCTGAATTACAGTATAAGTGAGGGGAAACAAAGGAACCAACCCATGGCATCACTACATATGCATCGTTGAGATCAGCAGCCAAATCACATGCTTGTATTTCGAGCCTCTTAAAAGCTCCACTACGCGTATCATATTGAACAAAATTCATACCAGGTTGCCCTAAACCCAGTAGGATTTCTTGTCCGTCCTCTGAATAAGCAAGAGGCAATGGAATTAAAGGTTGGCCAAAGAGGACTTGGCGTCTAACTATATCAGCAAAAATGTTGTTGAGTTCAATGCTAAAATTTAGACCATGTTTGTTTCACACCATACTCTTTCATAATCCATATCTCCATTCCATGAATTGTAGAATATTTTACCAAATGCAAGCAGCCCCTTATATCAGCCAACTCAAATTTAAAGCCCCCATCGTTGTCAGGATTAGGGAACGATAATTCATGATATTCTTCCGTTCCAAGGTCAAAACACGTTATGATTCTTGACATTATATTAGCAGTCGACGAATTCTTAGGCTTTAAATCTATCCAGTGCAACGCATTATTAGAGAAAAGCATACGGTTTGAATAAGTCGACGAATAAATCCTTAAAGGTTGGACGACTTTCCATGAATTGTTCTTCAAACTGTAAACATGAGATTCAACCCGTTTTGGGTACGTATCGACTGTTTCTGCTTGTAAAATCTTATAATCATTACTCGATAACCAAATCCTATCCTATATTTTGCATTGACATCAAGCACATTATAACGTCTCAAGGGCGATACAACGACAATTTTAGACGCGTTGGTGACCGGGTTGTAAATCGTAAAGCATCTGCTAAACCTCTTGATGAAACAAAGCAAGCCATTACACGAACCAACAAGTTGAGCATCATAGACTAAAGGGTGAGAAAATCGAGTGAGCTTCTTTACGTTTTTCGGAGAATGGTAATCAAGAGAGTATAATTTAGTCGATCAACGACAAAATAAGATGACAGAAGCTCTTGAATTTGTGTTGTTGAATTTGATAATTTGGGATGTGTGAGACTTGATAAAATTAGGGTTTTTGATTTCATCACGCCAACGCTTGCAAACACATTGATAACGAAGAAGATCTTTAATAGGTAGCCTTGAAAGGATATTGGATTCAATCTTTAATGTAAGACACTTAGAAGTTGAGGTAATGTTCTTTCGAATTTCCATTGTTGCTCGCCAAATACAGTCGTGGAACTACGGAGTGGTTGATCGGGCGATATGCTGAGAAGCTAATTAAAGAATTTTCTTTCTTTGTTGTGGGTTAAAAAAAAAAAAATGGATATATGAGATGTTTTTTTTTTTTTTTTTTTTTTTTTTTTTTTTTTTTTTTTTGAAATAAAATTTTAGCATAAGCTTAGTTAAGTTTAAAAGTCAAACAAAATAAAAATGATGAAAATTTGATAATTACCCCAAACTAGTTCACGTGAAATAAGGTTTTACTCCGTATTTTTCATTGGTCGAAATAAGAATTTATTTATATGGCACACCAAATGCTTCCGAAATATATAATTACTAGATGGAAGCCTTTTATCTAAGCTTTTTAATTATTTGATTTATTGTTTTTAATAATTTCAAACAAAATTACAAAAGTTTAATATTTATTTATTTTTACTATAATTTATAATGAATTTATTAAATATAAATAAATTGTAAATATGATATTTTTTCCGTAATATAAAATCTTTAATGTGAAATGATAAATTTTTAATAATTTAAATCCCAAATCATTATTCATTGTTTTACCATATCTTTTATTTCGATAGAATCACCAACCTCGTCCACAACCAACCTACTACATCAATGGATACTGCACATTAGATTTGGGTTTATGTCTAAAGATGTTGTGATAACCTTATGGTTATGTTAATTGCAAGGTGTATTCGTGATTGAACTTTGAAAGGGCAAAGTGTTGATTGATATTCGGAACCAAGGTACGTTTAGGTGACTAGATACCTTCGAAAGTGATTGGTCTGAATAACATGTTTCATATAATTTTATTGGTGATTGAATTAAATTGATCTCAATTATGATTTATGAAATAAAGTATGGTTGGAGGAATTGATTTTAATATTTGTTTTAATAAATGTCTTTTTGAAGGATTGATTTTAATATCATATTTGAATGGTTTGAAATTATTTATTAGGTTTAAAGGAACTTGGTTTTACAAAGTATGTTGGATTGTTTTAACGAGTTTTTAAAAGGGTTGATTTAAAAGCTTATTGAATTAAATAGAAAGGAGTTTTTGAGTTATTCTATTATAAAGGTTGATTTTATTCAAAGAGGAGTTTCATGAGAATTATTGAATTATTTATAAAAGCTTTACAAGCATAATTATTATATTAATCCCACTATGCAGATTCATTGAAGAATATGAACTTTGTATGACCTAGTCTTTCTCCAAGAATAGCCTTGAAATAGTAGGAGACTAGCTTGAGGGTGTGCACGCTTAGAGAGGAGGTTGAGTTTTCGATAATAATTGATTTGACTAATTATTATTATTGAGTTATTGGAATTATTTTGATAATATTTGATAATTGGTTATCAAGAGAGGAATTGGTTTTCAAAAGAGGAAATTGGTTTTATAAATCGTTTCATCGAATTATTGAATTATTGGGAATTGATTTGAAATCATGAGTTTTGGAATTCATTGGATTAATTATTGGAATTGGTTTTAAAAGCATGTTTGTAAACAAATTGAATTTACTTATCTTGCACTTATCGTACTTAGCATATTTTGCTAATTCGTATTTCTTATTTGTTTGGTTCGCCCTGTTTACTGTAATGGTAAGCAGTGTTGACTAATTTCAGGAGGAGTCAAGAATTGAGCATATGAGAGTCCTGGGAATGTTCTTCACCTAGATTAGGATTGTTGGTCTTGGTTTAATTATGAGTACTCATGAAGATGGTTTCTATTTATAGTTATTGTTGATAAAGAAATAGCTTGAATTTCCGCTGTAAAGTATTGGTTTTGGTTAGTAGTTGAGTAGCCTTGTGTAATCACGCGGCGGTAATACTCCGAAGTCCTATCTCTACGGTATTATTATACGTATTATACTAGTATTTCTGTTGAGGGAGATTTAGGGGTGTTACAAAGTGGTATCAGTTTTCAAGGTCCTAAAAATATTAAAATTGGGAATAATAATAATAATTGTGGGTAGACTTAAGAGGGCATGTAGGATAGATAGAGTTTCGCATCTGTGTGTGAAAGTCAAAAGCTTTATTTTTATCTAAAACTATTTTCCTATTTGTGGAAAGATGATTGAGAAAAGGATGCTCGGGTTCTCTACGGAGGCCTATAATGAGCACGCCTCTCTGTCTAGGAAAGGCTCACCTCGACGCTATAGGTAACTTTCCTGGGAGACGCAGGCTCGACCGTCCTATATCATGACTCAAGTACATTATTATTATTTTTGAAAACAAAAAGAATTGAAACTATTTCAAAGCTTGAGTCAGTGTGATTGGTTGTGCATTAAGTTGGTGTTATAACACCTTGGTCTATGGTCAAGAGGTCCGAATTTTTTTTGAGTTTATTGCCCATCTAACACCCTAGAAATTCCTATCCTTTAAAATACTTGTTTTGACCTTTTTAAAATACGAAATAGGAAAATATAAGACATTACCACCACCGTGAAAACGACTAAGGCAAATATCAAAGACACACAGCGGAAGACTATCTTTTAAAAACTCAAATGAAATAAAGTTTAATAAAATCAACTCAAATTTTAAAACCAACTTACACTAAAACAATAACTTGGAATCATTAAAGACCCTTTAAATCCAAAGTAAATATAAACATTAACTAATGTTAGTGTCAACACTTACATAAATAATTTAATACAATAAATAATAAACAAAGAAACATGCATGTAACCCTCTTCACTCAACCCCATCATGCTTGATATGCTTCATCACCTGAAAGATTCTCTCTATTTGTCCCCACTACTCGCCATTAGAAATGAGTCGTTATAGGGCCAAGTTAAAGACAAGGCCAAACAAACATACAAACACACAATCAGCAATGCTGAGTACATAAGCGTAATAAAAACACACTAACATACTTTTACCCTAACATCACACAACTTACCTTATTGCACTTGTTTACAAGCATACAACACACAACATGACCAATCACTAATAACTAAATTAATTATATAGTTTGATTACGCATCGAACGAGGTTCCCCCTAACTTGCCCCAATAAAAGGGGTACTAACACGGGAGCTAACCGTGAAAGTATAAAAAGAACCACTAGTAAGCGGCGGAATTCCTGCGCATAATAAAAAAGGAAAATACAGCGTCCTATACTCCCAGTAGAAGTTATGGTTAAATATAAAACCCCATAACTCCCCTCATATGTTCATACTCAAGGTATATACGTTCCAAGAGTTTTAGTGCATAACCTCTTTCACTTTACGTTGTTTACATATTTTAGACTTGGTGATGGCTCTCAAACCTTTTCTTTGGCTCTTGAGGTTCCGGACATGGACAAGATAACTAAAGGTGGAATAACTAAAGGTGGCATAACTAAAGGTGCCGATTATCAGTATGTGTAGACAAGTAGAACAAAGCAGTGGCCGCATCCTTCCTACCACGGGGTGTTCCATTCCCTAACAACTCCACCAATGCATCAATAACTCCTAAATTCCCTATCCTAATCTTATTCTCTTCAAATACAGATAAACTATACAGAGTTGCAGCAGCATTTTCTTGGGCCTCAGGAGTCCCCGTCTGAAGGACATGGATAAGAGGCTCAATTGACTTAGCTTTCATAATGTTAACCTTATTGTTGTTGCTGATAGACAAGTTCAGGATAGCAGTGACCGCGTTTTCTTGAGTATTCATGTGTGAACTACGAAGGAGGTTAACCAAAGGGCCGATAGCTCCACAACTCGCTATTATGATTTGGTTATCCAAGTCCTTGGCTAAAATCCTGAGCTCTGAAATAGCTTCTTTTACAGTTTCAAGTGAAGTACTTAATTTCACATTATCTACTAATTCCTTTACATGAGCCTCAAATCTTGCAGCAACCCCATTTTGATCATCTCTTGTAGACAAAGGTACGATCATGGGTGAGAATTGGATCGGCTGTAGTCGGGTTTTAGGATTGTAACTTTTCCTTTCCCTTTGTTGAGATCCTGTTGTTGCTGATGCAGGAATAACTTGATCCTTTGCCATCACGCCTATTTCATTGATTTCGCCGGGTTCTGATGGATTGTGCAATTGTTTCTGATTGATATCTTCAACTATTTCTTGTTCTAAGTCAGTGTATGAAACCATGATGGACTGAAGTTTGAGGGACTATTTGTATATAAGCGTAACGCCTCTATATTCTTCTTGTGCACATATTCTGTACAAAAAAAGCAAATATCACCATCGTTATTTTGCTAAGCTATAATGAATTGATGATCAATATTCATCAACACGCGATACGCAAGAAGAACTAATTAATCATGCGGGACACCAATCATATAATCTTGGAGGAATATGAGTAAGAACACCAATCTTGTAACAGGGGATATGCAACGGAAGTTGTAATGTTTAAACATGGCATATCAATTTAAAATCTTCCTCAAATTCTCAAAACCACCCATTATTTTTCTTTAATATCCCCAAATATACCCCTTTTACGTTTCTGAGTTTTTAGACCAATTGAGTGTAGTTTGCTCATTTCTATGCTCACACTACAAACTTGTGTCTCCATATTACATAAATGAACCTACGTGGGATTCAAACCCACATCTTTTGTGCATTTGCACAATGCTCTACCCTTGAGCTACTAGGCTAACGTATTCAAAACATTCAAACACACTCACAAATGAGCATTAATTTGACAAAATGAGCAAGAATCATTTGCTCATTTGACAAATGAGCATTAAATAGTTTGCTCATTTGACAAAAGAGCATTGAATTTTTTGCTCATTTGATAAATGAGCAAAAATTATTTGCACATTTTTGCTCATTTGATAAATGAGCAAAATATTATTTGCTCATTTGACAAATGAACAAAAAAATCATTTAATGCTCATTTAAATGAGCAAATAATTGTTTGCTCATTTGATAAATGAGCAAAAAATTATTTACTCATTTGATAAATGAGCAAAAAATTATTTGCTCATTTGATAAATGAGCAAAAAGTTATTTGCACATTTTATCAATATAAAATGTGTTTCCTAATATCAATATTCTTACATTCATTCCTAACAACTAACTAAATTTTACTTACAACAAAACAAATAATTCTGGTGTTCAGAAGGTATAGGAACTTCAGAGTCCATGTTCGCTTATTGTTTTTCCTGAGTGGTTCAGCCACAACAAAATAAGATGACAGAAGCTCTTGAATTTGTGTTATTGAATTTGATAATTTGGGATGTGTGACTTTTGTGCATATCTTATTTCACGAGCTAATTTATTTATTTATTTTAATTTGGAGATGGAAATGGATTGGGCCGGCACTAGGGTTTAGACATGACACCAAAATGGTTCAATCCAGCACGAGCAAGTCATAAGTCTAGCACAACACGAGAGGTATGCCATGAGCCATGGTTGTGTATGGGTTTCATTTACAAAATTTAGTACGAATCCAGCACAAGTACGACGAGCTAACTCACGTTTTGGCTCATTTTTTTTTTTTTACCAATTTACCAAAATATATACTACTTCGTATATCATATTAGGTTATTTAGGTGGCCCGTTGGCACAACACACGGGCTAAGTTGTGTATGAGGTCCATTTGTGAAAGATTGGTACGAGCTCGACAAGACACGACTCTTTCTTGCTTATTCTAGGTACGGCTCACTTAAGCACGAGATGCGCTAGCACGACATAACTTGTGCCTGTCTTTGGCCCATAAAATACTAAATAAAATATAGGTGTAAATTATAGCATGAATCTCCAAAATAATACGCCATAATCCGATTGTCGAAGTGACTAGATATGTAATTTGATCTGCATATATAGAATAATTTAGCATGATTCAAATCTGAAAACAACCCAAATCAATTAGATCCAACCCTAACTGATGACTCGAATTAACACCTCTTCGGCATTTTATTAAAAAAAAAGAAATGCGCATACATCCTTCTTACTTGAAGGATTTCTCTCATTATAGAATTTTTTTTCTTTTTCCTTTTTTTTTTATTACAAGAAAAAGAACATTATAAAATTGTTAACCAACGTTATTGTCTTTTTGAAAAATACCTTAATTAAACGGTATATACTCTTCAACTCCAGTCCGCATACGACTAACTAATCTAAGTAAATAAATATTAAACTTCGTAAAAGATCCAGACTAAGGGCCCGTTCACTTCACCTTATTTTTGCTGAAGTGAAATTATTTTTACTGAACTGAAATTATTTTTGCTGAACCTTAATTAATTTTACTGAACTTAACTTATTTTTACGGAACCGAAATTATTTTTGCTAAACTGAAATTATTTTTACTGATTTTCTATTATATATCTTCTTTAATTTTACTGATTTTTACGAAATTATTTTTATTGAACTAAAATTACTTTTGGTGAACTGAACTTATTATACTGAACTGTAATTATTTTTACTGAATAATATTTTTTTAAGGTGAAGTGAACATGGCCTATTTCTATTGTATTTTTTTTAGAAAAAAGTATTAAGTACTTGTAAAATCTAATGTAATCAACATTTTTACAGTTTAATTAAGGAAAAATTGTGACAAAGGTCTTTTTAAAGTGACTCTCTTGTCACAAAGGTCCTTATAAAAAAAAAGGTGGCACTAAAGGTCCTTATAAGTGAGTTTGGTTGTGCAGAGGGGCCTTTGACCGAATTCCGGCCAACTTCCGGCGTTGACTTCTATTTTCAGGCCAAAAAAAAAGGTCTTTTTTTTTTTCCTTTTTCCTTCTTCTTCCTCGATTTCCCCTTTTCCTCCATTATTAACATTTTCTCTCTCCTAATTTCTTCATTTTCCTCCGTTTCAGATACACCTTCAATTCCATTTTTCTGGAAAATATTTTATAGTTTGAGCTTAAATTACTAGATTAATTGAAATTTGAACTTAATTAGTTAAATTAATAGAAGTTTGAACTTAATTTGTTGGATTAGTTGATGTTGTTAATCTTATTATTATGAGTGTCGGAGCTGGAAAATGTTGGATAGTTCCGACATTGCCGTGTTGACTCTGATGGTGATGTCAATGGCAGCAATACAAGTTAAAACTCAAGCCAAGTTCAGAGCAATAATGCTCAAGGGGTTTTTAGAGTGGGTTGTTCAGGCCGGGGAAAGGGGATATTTAGGGGCGGGTTTTTCAGGGCGAGGGGGGTTTTGGGTGGGCTCAAGCGTTCAAGCCACCGCCGTTTGTGGGGTTGGGTTTGCAAGGGGTTATGGGTGGCTGCTGGGGATAAGAAAGCAAAGATGAGGATAGGGTGTTAATGGAGGAAAAGGGGAAATCGAGGAAGAAGAAGGAAAAAGGGGGAAAAAAAAGTCGTTTTTTTTTTCAAAAGGAGAAAAAAGAAAAAAAAATTTAAAAAGCAGTCACGTGCAAGGCATGTGATAATTTTTTGCCTGAATTCAAAAGTCAATGCCAGAATTTGGCCGGAATTGGGTCAAAGACCCCTCTGCACAACCAAACTCACTTATAAGGACCTTTAGTGCCACCTTTTTTTTATAAGGACCTTTGTGACAAGAGAGTTACTTTAAAAGGACCTTTGTCACAATTTTTCTTTTAATTAATGTTATCTATGTGATTAAGGGTTAAATAAATAAATAACATTCTTTCAAAAAAAGAAACAAATAAATTATGGAAAATCTAATTTTAAGATGTATAACCATGAAAAATTAAACTTTAACTAATTAGCAGAAAAAAAAAAATAAAAAAAAAATAGAACCTTCTATGAGAAAGCAAAGATATACAATAATACAATGTCATAGTTTCATAAACTCGACTGTGATCCTAACATCCTTTCTTCACCTCCTTGGTGGCAAATTAAAATTCGAACCAATTTATGCACTGTGAGACAGTATTGGCAACCTCATTATTAACAATGTACTATCCTTAAAATATGAGGCATATTATATTGTCATACTACGAATTAAAATAACACAAACTTAAACAAATAAATATAGAATAATGGCTTTTTTTCAAAATAGAGATGCAAAACTTAAGGTTGCTTTTTACGTTCTTGTTAATTATAGGTGTGGTTGAAGGGGAGAGCTGTGGGAGTTCTTCATTTGGTTCAAGGCGTACGACATCCACCAAAACCCTTCGAACTCTCATGTCACCCCGACGATGCTAGGGTCTTCGAAGTTTCGTACGACCATTCGAACTAGCAATCCTAACCATGGAACAACAATAATATCTCCAAACTCTACTGCTTATCAACAATCTGTTAAGCTAGTTTCGTTTGCTTTTGCTTTTTATACATTTTGGTTTTTGGTGGTATTAGAAGATCTACATAGTCAATTGCAAATTGTTATAGATATTTTGTTATTATTATTTGTATATCTAACATACGTATATGACTTATGATGTTAACCGGTAACTTTCCAATAATTATGTACATATATTATGAATCATGGAGTATAAATCAAATGTATAGTAATGATGCCTTGAAAACACTTAAAACTATTGTTGTGAATTTGTAATCTTGCCTTTCAGTCTAGCTAATAGCTGGTAAAACAATTTAGCTGAATTAGTTATATTGGTTATTTGACAGCCAATATTTAGCTTGAAAGAGAACGAACATAATTTTATTTTTATTGTTCTTCACTTTTTTTTTTTGCTTTAAACACGAAAGAGAAGGAAAGAGCGAAGAGGTATGATGGTCATTTCCATCTACATGTGAGCTTATTGAAGCTTTGTTGGGCAAATACAATCAAAGGGATGATCAGGAAATTGCTCATAATCTTGAAGTAAAATATTAAACTTCCATTAAAGGATTCCATAACATAATGGTTTGCAACAAAGTATTAATAAATTCACTTAAAATGAGCAAGGGGGATTGTTATTTTAATTACTGTAGTCGTCTGACCCTTAAAACATAATTACAGCTGTCATTTCTAACTTCTGAGAAGAGTAAACAGGAATGTCTTGAAAGTGTAGCAGTAGGCTTATTACAGTAAATACGAAATACTGTACAAAACTGTCTCCGTATAGATAATCTACTTCTCTCTCTGTAATGAGATTAAAGCTGACTTAAAACTTCAGAGGGGTTTTCCTGAGGCTACTCTGCCATCGGATGGCTAACTCTTATACCTTCAAGGGGTATGCAGCCATCCGGCGCAGGTTTGTACTATTCACAAGCATTACTCTTTTATGGTTCATTAATTCAAACAAAGAAACACTGTGCAGTACATTACTATCATTAAATGACGTCGGGATTCTATGGATCGGAAGACACCCACACCCAGCTCCTGCGTAGAATTTGCAATCTGTTTACAGTTTGTTTGTCAAAAACACTCCAGCTGATGAACACAGATCAGAAACTTATTTCTTCAATGTAAACAAGTAGCACATTTTATTTCTGAATTGAGGTGTGGACATTCACCACAAACTATTTAGGTTCAAAAAGAAGCTCGACGTTTCACAGGAAAGAAAGTAGGGGTGCTTTTTGTAGAGGCATTCATGTTCTAGGGCAGAAAAAACAAGGGAAAGCATAAACTGAACCATAATGTCCTATCTCAAAAACTACAATGTACAAACAGCTTTCAAAGTCATCAGACATAGAGGACCATTGACACTATGCCAACACCAACTAGCATATGATAAAGAATTCTAATTTCAATTAGTATCAACTACAAGAATCAGTTTCTCACAAGATAAATGACAAAATATACCTAACTTCAAGACTATGAAAAAGAAAAGGAAAAAGAAAAAAAAAAAAAAAAAGGCTAGGAAAAATGGAGCATTTGATCTGCTCAGCTTTTAACTCCATGGGCATGAAACTCGTACAAGATAGCCAGAAGGATTGATAGAAAAGTTAATAAAATTGCACCTTTCTGGAAGTTGAGCAACCACATGAAATGACGTGCCAGGCACAATTTGTCAAAATCTGGAGCTGAAGCTATTCGATGCAAATGTGTAGAGCTCTAAGTTTTCAAGGTTACCTCCAAAATTAACCATAAAAATTATCTCCAACTGGCTGAAGCCTTTGAATTTGAATTGCTCCGAGAATCCTTTAGGCTCTAATCAACAATGGAAATCAAATTATCAGGGCAAAGTTCTAACTTGCTGATACTATCATTTTATGAACAAAAGAAGCATCACAGGCTTACCAGTCGCTTAAAGGATGTTTTAGTCCCAACTTTCTTTGTCTTCTCCGGATCTGATTTGGCACGATCAAGTGCCTGAGACATGTAAGTTATATGTTACTATGCATGCGAGAGAGAGAAACTAAACATAACTGATTACTTCTAAAGCTGTTGTCTAAAAAGAACCAAAATGATTACAGAACAAGTATACATCTTTACAGCAGGGTCTACTAATTTTCTCCCCCTGTTCTCGGTTATTTATGAGCACTACACTTGGAGAAGCAAGGGTGCATGCATCAAGGCCATCAACTCCTTTTTGGCTTTGTGCCTCAACATAGGTGCCAACGTGCCAGGTGGTAACTTTGTAAGTGAAACCATTCAGCAATATGCAAAGCTAGTATGCTAATATCAAAATGCTACCCTGTGTACGCATACTCTTTATTTTACCAAAAACGTGTCAGATTCTCAACACTTCAACATCAGTAAGGACTGTCGAGCACGTCAACAGTTCACATTATACCAAAATTAATACTTTCTCCATTTTAATTAAACAGTTTGACTTTCACACTTGTCAACATATTTATTGTTCTCTTAGTAAAAACTAAAAAGTATTAAAAAGCTGATATTCTAAAAATATACATTGTGACTGATCCAATATCAATACATATTTACATTCGTTTTATATGCTAGTAAAAAATACGGTCAAAGCTAAGGCAAATCCGACACGCATTGTTTTCTGATATGATTTTTCAAGTACTGGTAACATCGATGTTTTTTTTTTTTTTGAAGAAGTAACATCGATGTTTGTACACTGCATCCAACTTATAAATAAAATTTAGCAAAGAAAATGCAGGGACATGGAAGTAATATAATTGCCCATTAATTCCAACAGAATCCAGTGTCAATTGGGAATGACTCCTCATACTATAAAATTTTAGTCAAATAACATCCTATCACAATGACTTGAGGAGATAAGTGGGACTACCAAAGTAAAAGGAGTGCTACATAAAAAGGATACCTCAATCAAAGATTCCACGCGACGCCTCATTCGAGTATGCATGAATCCTTCAGAGCACTGGTGGCAGAAATGTGAGATTCAGTGAGATGCAAGTCACGGCATTCCAAGACAAGTCATTTAAAGTAAATTAAAACAAAATAAAAGTCACGTGAGATATGGAGACTTGTAAAAGAACGTTAAACCAAGTATGAAATTTGCCCAACTTGGTTGTTAAATTAGTTTTTTTGACATCAATAAGACTATCACACAGCTGTACAGTATTCCCACATCATTGGTTTATGCAAATAAGAATCACATTACAGTATTTAGGCTTGAAAATAATATTTCTTAGTAGCAAATTTTTCTAGGGAGTAATGAGGTTAGACTGAGTTCATGCACAAGACAGTACAGGGCTTCTCAAATGTATTCTAGTGCTGCCGCAGAGATGATGACAACTACTATTGGTAACTACAAACTTGAAATTTTCAATTAAAATACAGCAAAGTAGTGAAAACTAGGGGCATAAAAGTAGATAAAGTTGGACTTGAGGATGAGGAACATTACCTTGACATGGTAACTAACATATGCATGAAAGGTTGACAAAAGCCATACAGTTCTATCTATCTTCTTGATGTCGACATGGCGTGGGAAAATGACTAAGCATTAATGAGGAATACAGTTAGACATAAATACAAGTATAAGAGTGAAAGGACACATGTTATGTAGCTAATGTGAACATTACCAAAAGAAACAAAGCCAGCATTTGCAGATAACGCTTCTGCAGGCACTCCTGCAAGTTCTTCAGGTGGTGAAGGTGACCATTGACACGAAGGAGCATTATTCAGTCCAGCACTAGCACTACGACGCGCTTCAACGAATTCCTAAACAAGATCAAAGAGTATCAAGCAAGTCAAGAGAGTCCAATGCACTATGGCAATATTTTAGTAAACCACGACGTCTCCAACACCATGTACATTCCAGCATATTGTCTCAATGATAAAATTGTGCACACTTTCAGAAATTATTAATAACAATACCTGCAGAAAAGAAGTGGCCAGACATGTATCTGTGGAATCTTTAAATCTCATAGGATATATGACTGTCACTTTTTCAGTCTGCCACAAGAAAATGCTAATTGATGTTACATTTAGAAAATCTGTAACAAGACTACAAATAAAAATTTAGCCTCACATTATTTAGTTGTGCAGCCGAACAGCTCAAAATCAAACTTTTGCCAAAAATAATGAAACAAAACTCAAACCTGAGGAATAAGAAAGAATGCTTCATTAGGCCGATGCACTAGAGCAACTAATTGATCCATATCAGGAGCAAGTGATCTTGAAGCAAGATGTTTTAAGATCACCCTTAAAGGTGCACCAAGGACCACTTCCCTAACAGAGGCAACCTTCATCAACAGAGCCTGTCTAGTTTCTGAAAAATGACAAGCAGACAACTGTCACAAGAGTGTCACTGAGAAGATGGCAAAAAGAAAAAATCATTCAAGACGGACTTGGAAGGCAAACCGAGTTTCAATCAAGTCATTGATGGTAAATGTTCACAGTTGACTGAATTTTGAACAATATCTTACATTTGAAGTCGAGACCAAAGCAGGTTAAAACAATTATTTGTGCAATATATTTGTGCAAGCAGGATATTATTCTCATTGCTATAGACCAAACACACATATTCTACATTCTCCTCCCCCCCTCCCTTCTAATCTTCCCACCGAAAGTGCTAGTAAAACGAAATTAGCACTGAATTTTCTGTCTACATACCACAAAGCATTTATCTTATAAAGGCTTTAAGACCCTATCCAAATATTATGCATGCAATTACTTCTTAATTGAAACAACACATGCACACCCCAAAGACATGCATATATACGAGTATGGTAAACATAGCACATCAAAAAAAAAAAAAAAAAAATCAGGCTTTGCAATTCTATTCATGGTACAGTCTTGCTTAAACAAACAATTTCTAATAGCTATTTCCTCTAGACCATATTCTATTACAACCAGGTTATATAAGGTGATTAGGAAAAGAACAGAACCAGTGTCCTCTACCTCTCCTAAGAAGCCTCTAGGATTATAAAACTCTAGCATAAAAGTAAATACTAAAGGGCACACTATCCAACCAAAAAGGTACTTCTTCCCTAAATGTAATCTAAGTTGTTGTGAGGATTTGAGAACCTTAAGCAAGAAATATGGGGGATGTAACATTTGAGTAATGTATTGTATATATATGCAATAAAAATGTTCCTTTCTACTCAACTTTCTATACATTACCAACTCCTTGGGACCAAGAGACTTTATATGGTGTTAAAAATCAGCTTCCTGATAGCAATGAGGCACTTTGAGTTAGAGGAAAAAAGTGAAGAAATCATAATCTAAATTATGCAGGTCAAAACGCAAAAGATATTTTGACAGGGAATTCACTGAAATGTAAGAGATCATATGATTCAGCTAGTCACAGCAAAGATCATAATGACCTTAGAAAGAAGAACTCGTAAGACCTTCATCAGAAGAAAGCTTTGAGAAATTCAGCCTCAGTGTGAGATTAAATCCATCTTTTGGAGGGTCTAGCATTTTCACCACTGTTCCATATGCAGCTTTTATAGCTTCTATAGCTCCACTAGGCAGCCCTCCAACAAATATAGCTCCAGGAGGTGGTGTAGGTAATGATACTGACAACAACAAGATGAGTGGATTCTTCATAGAAGTCTGCAAAGACAGCACAGATAATATAGTGAAACATGAAGCATAAATAAGCCATAATTTCTCATCACTGACTGTTATTCTGGTAAACAAGACAGTTCACTATAGACAGATAATATAATACAGTACTAATCTATGCCTGATATAATTTCTATCAAAACATATAAGGCCTTACAGTAATTAACTGTAATGAAAGACCAAAATATACCTGGACGTTGAATCGCACATCATCAAACTCAATCCATTGGCAGTCCAGTTCAACACCTTTGTCAAGGCTGTAGAGCACCACAGTAGATATTAGACAGCATGAAGGCAAAACAATACAAAAAGAGTCATAAAGTTTGAAGTTCAAATTACACGGAAAACATATATTTCCTCCGTTTCTTTTTAGATGCACTACTTTCTAAATAAGGAAAGATCAGTTTGGCTCATGTCATGGGATGTGACAAAGTTTTACACTGGCTGTCACTGGCTTACCGAAACCCTCCTCCTTTATATGGGACTGGCAGCGGGAAACCCATTGGCGGGAGACCGAAAATGACTTGGTTGGAAGGAGTTCTGAAGGATATGAAGTATATGGATGTACATGAGAATGAGGCATTGGATCCTAAGGGTTGAAGAAGGAGGAGGTTCTTTGTTGATGATTACACGGAATAATCAAATTTGGTTCATATAGCCGACCCCACTTATGGGATTAAGGCTTTGATTGATTGATTGACTGACTTTCTAAATAAGGAAATTCCAATTTAGATGCATCACTTTCCTTTTTAACTAACTAATTCTTTTTAAATCTCTCCTATCACATGGGCCCCATTTATTTTTCTCTCTAACTCTCTCTACTCCAGAATTTGCCTAGGAATCCATAAAAACCAAAATGACGCAACTAAAAATAACGGAGGAATTTAGATTTAGCCCCTGCTTTACCCTTCCCATGTCCATCCATAATATAAGAATTGTAGCTACCAGTTAATCCATAATATAAGCATACATGGACATGGTACTAAATCTCGGCCACATCATCGCTTTTTTAGACTACAACAGCCGCAAACCATCCAGTCCCACAAAATTGGTTCTGCAATCATAATTGTGATTGCAACTGTGACTACATCTGCATCCTAGATTTTAACCATGTCCAAGGGCACGATTAGCTATCTTTGTACAATCCTTAATGTTCTGGTCTAATTTCACCATCTCATATCCAGGGTTTCAAGCACCAGATGTCCATATCACAATTTCCATTAGGTTGTAGAAAAGTAAGCATTTACGACATAAAACAGGATAATTGTGATCTGTTCGGAGAAAAATTAACAGCAGCTCATATTTGTCTAGTAAAACCTAAAATTGCTGAAGATTCAAAAGCATAAAGTTTATGATCTTAAAATCAAGGTAGAGAAATTACAACTTACTTTTGAAGGCGATTTGTGAGGAGTTGGAGAAGATACTTCGAATGGGATTGCAGGAGTATCATTTGATAACAACCACTGCCAATCTATAGCTCCCTCAAAAGCAAAGTTAGTAGATCAAAAGAAGCCAAGCTTGCAAAATTTGGTTTCAATAACCTAATCCTCTTCTAACAAGCAAGCTTATTATGCTTGTCACCACAACTTCATAGGTTAAATTATCAAAAATTATAGCCCTATAAATTAACAAAGTTTGCAAAGGTCAGTATAACTCCCATATTAAGAGCATAGTAAGAATATTAATCTAATAGCATATCATAATATATTACAAATACCACAACAATTGTTTGCAAAATTTAAGTGTGGCATTTTCAAATGTCTTTTTTAATTTTCATAATGCTAGTTAATTTTTCTGGGCCCAAACCAAGTTCATACCACAGCCATTACAGAATTCTATCTATCAAAAGCATATTTTTTCTTTTTTATTCACCACTATCTATATAAGACTTTTAAAAACGAATTTAATGATGGAAATAAAATTGAGTTATAGGATATTTATAAAAAGTTATGATTAATTTTGTATATATGAACTATTAGAATTCTATCGATAATAAAACTCTATACAACAATTTTATCTTAAACATCTATCCAAAAACCGCTTACTTAGCATCATATGTGTCACAATAATAGCTATTTATCTCCTACGTGGTGCGACACTTGGCGAAAAAATGGAATGCCAAGTGTCGCTGTCTCGTGACCTAGCTGCAAGACCGGCTTTATTTATTAGTAATATATATATATATATATATATCCAAGATTTTTAATCAGGGGTAGCACACAATTGTTTACGAAAATTTAAAACCGACAAAAAAAGAATTACTAGAAAATCAAACTAAATTTAAGGTGGACATTATTGGAAAATTTCACCAATTATTGTTAGCAAAACAACAAACTGTATTTACTTTGCCGATTACTTCTAATTCTGGTGGTAATAATGGCCGAAAATGGAGTGATGTTTAAGGGTAGTAGGGATGAGGGGTTGGATTTGTCTCATCAAGGGAAGAATCAGGCTAAAAGTGGTGAGCATGGAGATAGTAGAGTTTGAATAACAATGGAGGATGTTGAACCAGAAATTAATTTCTGGAAATCAGCTGTTGTATGTTATGTACTAAGCTCAACTTTACCTCTTCAAATCATGAATGGATTTGTGCGAAGATCATGGGGTAGGTTTGGGATTGATAGAATTTCAGCCATGGAGAATGGAGTTTTTCTGGTGAGATTTAAGTCGATTGAGGGTAGAGAAAAGGCTCTAATGGCGGGCCCATTTTCTTTGACAAGAAGCCATTAATTGTTAAGAAATGGGAACCAGGAATCAACCTTAAAAACAAAGATGTTCATGAGGTTCCTGTATGGATGAGAATGCAAGGACTGGATTTGAAGTTTTGGGGAAGATCATCTCTGATGAAGTTAGCTGGAATCCTGGGAAACCAATCAAAACTGATACAGTTACGGCAACAAAAGAATTAGTTGGTTATGCTCGGATTCTGATTGAAATAAATGTGAGCGATAAACTGGTGGAGGAGATTGAGTTTTTGGATGAGAATGGAGATGTGATGTCCCAGAAAATTGTTTATGAAAGGAAGCCGATTCAATGCTCAGTTTGTACTGGTATAAGGCATTCTGCTGATCAATATCCTAACCATAAAGTCCGGGCTAATAGGAGGAAGGAGAGGGTGGATAAGGCATATCTAAAGGAGAAGAAAGTGTGGAGGCCTATTCAGAGAAATCCTGGTGGGGATGGTGTTAATCTGTTCCCTACTGTCTCTACAGGAAACAGATTTAGTGAACTTGAGAAGGATGATGATGATACTTCTGATATAGAAGAGGGTAATGGAGATGATAAATGGAGTAAGGCTGGTGATAACATGGCAATGGTTACTAGTGGAAAGGTGATGTATGGTAGTATGGAAGGGGGGCAATGCTTCTTGTCTGTCCATGGATAAAATAGGATTTTGAAATGTTAGGGGTATTAACAAACCTAGTAAGTTGTGGGATGTTTTATGGTTCTTGAGACACCACAATATGGGTTTGTTTGGCCTCTTGGAAACGGAAGTAAAAGGGAAGAAGTTTGGTAGGGTTTTGAGAATTTTGGAAAGGAGTGGTCTGTTATTACAAACCATTCTTTTTGTAAGTTTGGTAGAGTGTGGATTGTATGGCTGCCTAGTATTTTTACTATCTCTAGCTGTAAAATGGAAATCCAATTTGTTCATGTGTGTGTGACTCATAATGCTTTGAGGAAACAATTTTGGTTGACAATGGTTTATGGTTTGAATACTGCAAAAGAGAGGGAGGTTTTCAGATTGCTCCTCCTGCTGATGAACCTTGGATTCTTTGTGGAGATTTTAATAATATCCTTAATCTCGAGGATAGGATTGGTTCTCAATGCACTTTGAATGAAGTGGAGAAGTTTAGGCAATGTTTGAGAAGTAATAATCTCACTGATTTCAATGTGGGTGGCATGTTCTTTACCTGGACTAATAAGCAAGAAGGGGAGGATAGAGTTTGCTCGAAAATAGACAGAGTTATTGTGAATAATGGCTGGATTAATTCTTTTCCTTATTTTGCTGCTGAGTTCCTTCCAGAGGATCTTATGGATCATTCTCCATGTTGTATGAGATTGGATGGTCAAGCTGGGAATGTAAGGAAACCTTTCAGGTTTTTCAATATGTGGACAGAAGCTCCAAATTTTTTAGAAATTGTTAAAGCTGCGTGGGATGTGCCTATTCAGGGTACTGCTATGTTCAGGGTAGTCAAAAAGTTGAAGGCTGTTAAACAACAGTTGAGAATTTTGAATCTAACTCATTTCTCTTGCGTAGAGGGTGCTGATATTGCTGCTGGGAAGCTTCTGTTTGATATTCAGAAAAAGCTCAATTCTGACCCTACAAATGTTGAGCTGAGGAAACAAAAGCATGAAGCTAGATTGGCTTATAATGAGGCTCATACAGCCAGATATCTCTTTCTTAAACAGAAAGCAAAAGTACATTGGTTGAAGGAGGTTGATTTAATTCTAGTTATTTTCACTCTTGTATTAGACAGAGAAGAATTGCAAACAGGATTTGTAGTATTCAAGATCAGGATGGGATGCTTATTAATAACCCTGATGAGATAGCAGCCTCTTTTATTTCTTATTATAAGGGTCTTCTTGGTACTGATATAGGAGAGGCAAGACAGATTCACATGTGTGTTATTCATGAAGGTCCTGTTCTTTCTGAGACTCAAAGAGTTGATATTTGTAGACCCTTCACAGAAGCTGATACTAAGAATGCTGTTTGGAGCATTGATGAAGATAACTCTTATACTAGTAAATTTTCAAAAGTGCATGGGAGATTGTTAAAGGTGATGTGTGCCAGGCTGTCTTGTCTTTTTTTTATCATGGCAATTTGCTTAAGCAGGTTGACTTTGATTCCTAAGGTTGCTATTGCTGTTGCTGTGACACAATTTCGTCCTATTGCCTGTTGCAATGTGATATATAAGATTCTGTCCAAATCGCTTTGTTCTAGACTTAAGGAGGTATTACCTTGTATCATCAGTGAGGAGCAGGGTGCCTTTGTTTGCCTTTGTTTCTGGTAGAGCTATCCTTGACAACATTATGTTGTGTCAAGATCTTCTGAAAGATTATAAGAATCAAAGAAATCCTCCTAGATGCACTATCAAAGTGGGCATTAGGAAAGCTTATGATACTATTAAGTGGCCTTTCATTGAGAGAATGCTTGTTGCTCTTGGTTTTCCTAGTGTGTTTGTGAAGTGGATTATGGCCTGTGTTTCTTCTCCTACTTTCTCTCTCTTGATCAATGGAGGAAGTCATGGGTTTTTTAAAGGAGCCAGGGGAATCAGACAAGGAGACCCCCTTTCTCCCTTACTTTGACTTTGGAAACAACACAATCAGTTATTTGATTAATATGTTGTCCCATCATCGTCCATCGACCGCATATAATATCAAAAAAGTTAGTCAAAGCTTGTATAATAGTCAAAGCTTGTATCATCGTCCATCGACCTTGTACTATACAACACCTGAACTCTAAACCAAATCCCTGAAAGATCTCAACCTAAATGTTCAACAATCAACACAAACTTGAATACACCTTTTTCGGGGTCTATGTCAATGCAAATCTACTTCCCTTGTACGGTATACATGGTCTCATGACAATTAGTCAATGTTTGTTAAAACAAATCTCATGCTTTAAAACTCCAAGTTACCAGCAAATATTCTACCTCAAAGCTCAGAAATTCAGAAGCATTCATATCTATAAACATCATTTTCTATGGATGGCAAGCATTACCATTTGAACTAAAGTAATTTAAATGAACTATATAAGACACTCCCATACAGTCACAGGAGAATTGTGCATAAGTCATTGAACAATGCTACCAAGACAAAGTTCACCCCTATTGGCCCTATTCAATCATCAACAGTCACTAATCCTTATCAACTACCCATTAAACTATAAAAATAACCCCTTTACACACATCTTATGCTAGGACTGCTCATAATTTAATTAGGAAGCTCAATGCAGCAAGCTATAGTTCATGTCAACTTACAATCAAAAACTCAGAAAAATAATCCAATCTAAGTTATAAAGGATGCTCTAGAAATGAGTCAATGCTAGTGAGTTTCTCAAAAGTAGGAACTCAGCGGGCACTACAATGTTATTAATCTGCCTTTCTTAGTGCCCATGGGCTCACACAAATGCCACTCTATTTCTTAATATCTTCAAATCTCTGGAGCGTTCATCTCAAATTAAACTATAAAATAAACATTAAGTTATTTTGTCTCGGGTAATCGTACAGGGCTAAAGTAAACATTGCCCTCCAACATATCCAATCAGAGACTAAAAACTTCTTACATAATAAAGCTAGGTTCTGATCGAGCTTCTTCTACAATTAGACTCCAAGCAAAAGCACACCTGCAACTATCTCAATTAAGAGCTACTTAATATTCAGGTCTTAATTGGGTATGTTTCTGGCCCCTGCATCTACAAAGAAGGCAGTCAGATGAGATATACCAGAACACTAAACTTCTCATAAGTTCATTCGTTTATTTCACTAACATTTTCATTTTACAAGTTCATCCAACATGAGTTACATAACCCAGTGAGTGCAAAGGGAAACTCAAGTTATGAGGAAAGGAACAAAAGGAATTCCTAATCAAATCTAAATCATACAAGAAGGGTTCTCTCAAGGTTATTAAGACAAAGGTCCCCAAGTCGAGCAATTCTACCCTGTCTAATATAATCGCAGGTGAATGAGAAAAGATTAGGCCACTAAATCTTACTCATCAAACATTTTCACAATTCCTAGCTTCACTCTGTTAGGCTAGATTAATGGCCACTACATTATATGTGTCCGCCTCTGCCTGCACCACCACCGAAACCACCCTCCTTCCAGAGCCACATGAGCGCAATAGACCCCCCGCCCCAGCCCCACCAACGAACACCGCCCAAAACTTGAATTCCCCAACCCGAAACCACCCTAAACTCCCATCCCTTTCCCCACCCGAAACCCCCACCCCTTTCCCTCACCCGAAACCGCCGTAGACTCGATACTCCTACCCCTGAAACCATTCCCCCACCCCTCGGAATTTGTGAATTTGTGTTTTTCCTATAAAATAAAATAAATAAACTACAATTCACAAATTAGCAACCAAAATTGACTCAATTATCAAACTAATTACGTTAAATTCTTCGAGTATCTATAACCAATAGTTCAATTATCCAACTTCGAAGAACCCTAAATTGAGTATATACTGACAATTAAATACACGATTAACACTAGATTGTCAAAATTAATATTAGATGATTAAAGAAAAAGAAGCATCTAACCTTAGAGACTGCTTCAATGGAGGAGAGAAAGCTCAGAAGCCCCTTCAATGGAGAATTTCGAGTACGCTTAAATGGAGGAGAGAGAGAGGAAGGAATACAGCGAGAAATACATCTAAAGGAGTACAGAGAGAGGAAGGAGTACAGCGTGATTCGTGAAATTTTTTTTTTTTTTTTTAATAAAATAATAGGTTGTCCTGGGTCCCACTATGACTATACGTGGGTCCGTCACTAACTGCAGAGATTATACATGCTAAACAATATCAATCCACATAATAAATTTGATGACATTTGAAGCAAAACAATGAATAAATTGGATTTTTTTTCCAAACTAAACCATACTAGATAGAAGTCCGTGCGATGCACGGTTTTTTCATCTATTTTTAATTATTTGATTTATTGTATTTAATAATTTCAGACAACAAAAGTTTAGTATTTATTTATTTTTTACTATAATTTATAATGAATTTATTAAATATAAATAAATTGTAAATATGATATTTTTCCATTATATAAAATCTTTAATGTGAAATGATAAATTTTTAATAATGTAAATCCTAAATCATTATTCATTGTTTTACCATATCTTTTATTTCGATAGAATCACCAACCTCGTCCACAACCAACCTACTACATCAATGGATAAAAATGTTAGCCAAACTGAAATTGATATAAATTAAATCTTTACATTTATATAAAATAAATCAATATATTTACCAATAAATGAAAAATTGTTGCGATATAAAATCAAATCTATGCATTGGAATTTTTTCATCATCTCTAAAAATAACCAAAGCCATCCATATATTAAGTATACAATATTTAATCGTATGTCATTACATAAACAAATAATTGTTAAGTATCCTAAATAAATACAATGTAACTAATAATAACAAATATAAATTTAAACATAAGATATTAAAAATTACCCGGACATTGGTGACCTAAAACTAACACAAAATTACTAACACAAAATTCGCTTGATGGGGTATTGTATTGATATGAAATTTTATTTGTGTCGTATGATGTGTTAGATGTGCATGTAAAAAAACATTTAGTAAATAAAACATAAACATATAATCGTTGAGTATCCCAAATTAATACAATGTAAGTAATAATTATAAATCCTAATTTAAACATAGGATTTTAAAAATTAAGCTAAAAATTACCCGACCATTAATGACCAAAAATTAACACAAAATTCTCTTGATGGGATTTTTTATTGATACAAAATTTTGTTTGTGTCGTATGATGTGTCAATTTATAATGGTAGGTATCACAAATTTTAATTTAATTATAATTAACGAACAATTTGTATTTCTTATCATAAATGCTATCAAAATTTATCTTATATGATAGGTTTCAAACTTTATTATAAGCGTTTATCATTTAAATATTTTTTAGTATATTTTTTTTGGATTTACTCGTAGTTTGAATTAATAAATTTATCTCTTCCTATATTTTTAATTTATTTTTTTCATTAAAATAATTTAATTCGTGGACTATTATCTACGTGGCATTAAAATTTTAGATATATCAAATCTAATTCGTTACTTTTATCTAGGTTTATATCAAGTCTATAGGAAGTTTTTTTTTCATACATAAATCTCAAGAAAAGATATCTTCCTATAGACTCTAAGTTTATATATATATATATATATATATAATTATTTGATTTCTTTTACTATTTAATTATTTTAGACGAAAAAAACACATAATAATTTAATTAAAGTGCTATTGCCTATTACAAAAGTATAATTTTTTTTAATGTAATTTATTATGCGACTTTATTTATTGTTGTTTTGTATTTTATTCGTTGTTGTTAGTTATATGACAACTGAATTTAGTAATATGAATAAATTGTAAATATGATATCTGAAAAAAAAAATTGTAAATATGATATTTTATCGATTACATATTAGGTTAAAATCTTTAATGTGAAACGATAATTTTTTTTCATTTTTTTTTTGATAATTAAATTTGATTTATTTTAAAATTTAATAATTTCAGGCGAAAAAAAAAAACAAATAATAATTTAATTAAAATGATATTGCCAATTACAGAAGTATAATTTTTTTTAATGTAATTTATAATGCGACTTAATTTATTGGTGTTTTGTATTTTATTCTTTGTTGTTAGTTATATGACAATAATATAATATCTTTCAAAAAAAAAATTGTAAATATGATATTTCATTGATTACAATATTAGGATAAAATCTTTAATGTGAAAAGATAATAATTTTTTATTTTTAAAATAATTCAAATCCTAAATCATTATTCGTTGCTTTTTACACTTGAAATTAAACCCTCAAATCTATATATCATTTTGTATATTTCTTGTGATCTCTTGATCTCTAACAAATTATCTGTCTTTTCAATTTTTTTAAACATAAAATGTTTAAAGAAGGTAAAGTTTTTTATTGCGTTATAAGCTTTAAATTTTTTTTATGAATCAGGTATTTAGATAAAAAAACATCTCCTGGATAAGCTTCACGCCCAGGCGGCCTTCGTAATAGAAGCGACATTTGTCGATAAGCTTGTGCTTGTTTGGAAAGATCATCATAAATGATTAAAGTGTGTCGCTCACGGTACATAAAATATTCCGCTAGCGCCGCTCCGGTATAAGGAGCGAGGTACTGTAATGTAGCGGGGGAATCCGCTGTTTCGGATACCACAATAGTGTACTCCATTGCCCCCCTTTCCTAAAAGTTAGTAACTACCTGCGCAACAGAAGATGCTTTTTGTCCAATAGCTACATAAACACATATTACATTTTGTCCTTGTTGGATGAGAATCGTATCTGTGGCTACTGCTGTTTTACCGGTTTGTCTGTCTCCGATAATTAATTCTCGCTGACCACGTCCTACAGGGATCATTGCATCAATAGCAATAAGCCCGGTTTGAAGAAGCTCATATACGGAACGTCTCGAAATAATACCGGGAGCGGGAGATTCAATTAACCGAGATTCAAAAGCTGCAATTTCACCCCGACCATCAATAGGTTTAGCTAGAGCATTTATAACACGACCCAAATAAGCCTCACTCACGGGTATCTGAGCAATTCTTCCAGTTGCTTTTACAAAACTTCCTTCTTGTATCATCAAACCGTCACCCATTAATACAACACCAACATTATTTGATTCCAAATTCAGAGCAATACCTATTGTCCTCTCTTCAAATTCTACTAACTCCCCTGCCATTACTTCATCAAGACCATGAATACGAGCAATGCCGTCACCCACTTGAAGTACGGTGCCGGTATTTACAACCTTTACTTTCTCAATTATATCCTTCAATACGTTCACGGATAATTTTGCTAATTTCGTCTGCTCGAATGGTTGCCGTGAATCTTTCTTAATTCGTTTTTCTTTTGGAAACAAAAAAATAATACCTACATACAATTAACTAGAAGGACTAATCAGTTATTTCGTTCATCGCACCAAACATGCCAATATTAGCATTGATAGTCCGTAAATGTAACTCATTGTTCAAAGAACTATTTAGAGTCCCTAGAGCTCCTTGTAAGGCTTGTTGAAAAACCCGTTGTCGGACTTGATTAATCGCTTTTTGTTGTTCAAACTGAATGATTTCGTTTTTATAATTTTCGAATTGTTCTAAAATTTTATAAGTTGAATTAATTAAATTCATTTTTTCTCGTTCTATTTCAGAATATCCATTCACTCGAAATTGATTCGCGTCTATTTCCACTTTCTTTAAGCGAGCCCTGGCTTTTTCCAACTGTTCAATGGCCTTTCCGCGTAGTTCGTCTGAATTTCGAATAGTATTCAAGATCCTCTGTTTTCGATTATCTAATAAATCACTTAATGAAAGTGGATTATCTTTCCATTCATTTCAAAACATTCATGACCCCTTCCCGAACCAAACTTGAATCTTTCAATTCATTTGGCTCTCACGCTCAATTACTTCAATTATTTATGGCAAATTTCCATATCTTTTTTGACTGTAATGAACCTATCCTCCCTTCTCTGTTCATATGCGAAAAAAAGAAACCGATCATTAATCAAGACTAGAAAATTCAGAGGACTCTTCTGACCCAAACAAAAATAGAAAAATAGATAAGTCAGCAAAGTTGTTTTTTTTATTCAAATCCAAAAATTTGTGTTACTTTATATGTAGGTCATCGACTTGGCCTTTGGCATTTATTTCCTTAATAGTAATAAAAAAAGCATAAAAGTTTTTTCAATAACAAGAAATTAAGGGATTCAAATCATTTTATCGACATGAGTGTTCTATATCGAAAGATTTCTAACTATTTTTCTTTATTTAATTGAAAAAAATGTCTCGGTATTCGGTATATTAAGTATTAACAGAGTGGTAGAAAGAATACCCTGCTGTATTTGGACTTCAAACAATTTAAGTTTTAACCATGTTATGGTAATGATCCCACATTATTATTATTGGTTGATAGAGAATCAAAGTATAGTTACCAACAAATCCCGAAATGCTATAGTTCTTACATATGATTTCTTTATTTATTATTGATTTCAGAAGTCATTCGTGAAATCATGCAACTTCCGCCCTAATTATAAAGAAAAAGCGGGAGAGTTACAGTTGGTTGAATCCAACCTATTCTTGAAATAAACAACCCGCACACACTCCCTTTCCAAAAAAGATCAATACACCAAGCACTACACTGAGATTTATTAGATTTGTTGCTAAAATATCGGTATTAAACCCGAAACTCCCGGCGGATGGCCAGTGACCCAAGAAAACGAAAGAATCGGCTACATTTTTCATATGATCTCCTCTAATAGATAAACTAAAAAATCGTTGTATTTTTTAACTTCTTTACTACTTCTAAATTCGAAATGAATTTTTTTTTTGAATTGAGATTCCCAACAAAAAGAATACTTAATTTATTGGAATAGAATTCCTAATTAGGTACTCGGTTTCGTGTGAATTGCGAAATACTCCTTTTGTTGCAACACTTCTCCCTCGAACTAAGAAGGGGAAGGAAGGAAGAAAGCGAGTGGGTAACACGAATTCTTCATCCTCAAATGAAGTCCTTCCCGCGTATTATTTTCTCAACGAATAAGTAATTCTGTAGGAGCAATTTTTCACCATAAATGTGAAAAAGCAACCTCCAAGTTCAAGACTAGAAAAGAAATACGTATTTCTTATATTTATTTTTCTTTTCTCGAATTAAACAAAAGGATTCGCAAATAGAAGTGCTAATGCTACAACCAATCCATAAATTGTTAAAGCTTCCATAAAAGCTAAACTAAGTAATAAAGTACCGCGTATTTTTCCTTCTGCTTCGGGCTGTCTGGCAATACCTTCTACAGCTTGTCCCGCGGCAGTACCTTGACCAACTCCAGGTCCAATAGAAGCAAGCCCT